CGTGCAAGCCCGCTAGCCCGCTTCGGCTTTACTGGCTTTCTTCTCATTGGCCATCCCAAATCGCATGTTTGCGTACGAGATCATTACTTTTAGAAACTGTCGCATGATTGGGTGAAAAAATCTCGGGCGTCTCAGTTTTGTTTGCGAAGACACAGGTGTCTGAAGGGTATTTGAAAGTCAACCGGTTTACTATTTCACAAATCCAGATAATTAGTTTATACAGGGAGCGTCCCAGTATTTCACTCTTTTTGTTTGCTAAAAGCGGAGGTTTATACAGGGAGTGTCTATCTAGTATTTAGCAGATAGGACATGTTGAATGTAATTTCAACAATTAATATACATTGAAAAGGTCCTCTTGCCTTTAACATGGCTTGTTACAGAATGGCGTTTCCTGTCCATTGCGCATCGCCTTTTAGCTCTTCTCCTCTGCGCACACTCACCACCAAACCTTTTGCAGGTTGTGAATCACTGTACACTACCGTGTACATAACTTTAAGGTTAGGAAAACAGCGCAGCTAAGAAGCAACCAACAATACATGGATCTTCATATTAGGTAACATATTTCAGAGGTTACAAATTAGGGCTGAGGAATGAATCCTATTAAGCCTAAAATTATAACAAAGACAATTATTTAATAAATAATTAGCAAATAACACAATGCAAACAAAGCTCTAAAAATAAACTTTTAGTTTTCGTTAAAAAAGTCATCAAGTCGGTTTTTGAATACATTTACTGACTGTGCGCGAACAACACTCAAGGGTAAATTATTCCAAGTATAAAAAACTCTATTACAAAAAAAGTTTTGTCAAGTACGTGTTTTAAAATTTTCTTTGCTCAACTTGTACTCATGTCCACGTAGGCGCTCATCTGTATTCCGTGGGAGTATACTATAGAGGTTGGATGAAAAAGTACCATGAAGAATTCTGTAAGTCACAATTAAATTACCTCTTAATCTTCTGTGGGCAAATGAACACAAACTCGCCATGTTAAGCCGTTCTTCATACGATGGTCTAATTCTGCCGAAAGGTATTCGAGTAGCGTAGCGTTGAACATTTTCCAATCTTTTTTGATCAGAAATCAGATCAGGACACCACGCAGGTCCGACATATTCCATCAACGGTCTAACGTAAGTTGTATAAAGTTTAGAAAATGTTTGAAAGTTCACACGTGTGAAGGACTTCTTTAATTTATATAATTTAATTTTGTTTTAGTGCTATTACCAACTTTTTACTTGCATAAATCACAATTCTAACCTAACTTATTTCTTCTATACGACACTGGTGGATAAACATTACCGAAATATTATTAAAGTTGTTCCATGTTCACCACCTCTCCAATTGATTACCAAAGTACTGTTCAACTTCTGTCTACGCTCTAGTACCTCATGGCAACTATAGACATTCGTTTATTGGACATTAAAAAGAAGTAAATAAAAATATATCCTCACTATCTCATTTTCCTAACCTACGTAGATACTTTGAATATAACTTAAATGTTACTTATATTTTAATTTAATATTCTACCAATACTGTTTAATAGGAGTTAAATAGTATGAAGAACTGCCATCTGGTAGATTGTATGCACATGCAAGGGCTCAGTGTGTACGATCTTAAAGATAGGGCGAATTTAACACATTAAGTGCCTCAGTAATAACATAAGAATGATGCATCTTGTGCCACATATGATTTTCTTGTATTTTTTTTTGCAATAAATATTAAATATGTTAAGAAGCACAAGAAGCACAAGACACTTATCGTGTTAAAATATAACTTTTTATTGTTATTGTACTACGAGTGTGTTATCTTTAAGAGATAACTTTCTTCAACTATTTTATATAAGTAGTTAAATAAATTCAAGGAAAATCCTATTGAGTTTATTTTATTTCCGAGAATGTAATGTTCCGTATTAGTACAGGGAAATTGCAATATTTTTTGGAAAAATTTATATTCGCACGGCAAGCTGAATTTTTGAGATAAATCGTTGTTTCAACTATGAAGACTAGAGACAAGGAGGCGAATCGGCATACTTAAAATACGGTCCCAAAAAACGCACGCTATTTGAGCTTTTATAATTAACCACATGGTAGCTGGTACTGCTAACGGTGTTCAAAATACCTGGCTTCTTATGGGAATTATACATAAGTTTGTCAAAATAATAAAAATAAACTTGTTTATAGCTAAATAAAGCACAGAACATACTGTTAGTGCAGGGCATAGTGGCACATTCGTTTGCAAAATTGTTTTAATTCGTAATTTTTTTTTTAATGTCCGGAAGGCTTTCCTGAATATAAAAGTGTAAGATGACACTCGATATCTGTTGATGTTATTGTTTAAAAAACGAAAAATTAATTAAGCCAGAAAAAATGCATTTTTTGAAATGAATTAATTTTTTGTATATTCTTTAGGATATTTCGAAAACAAAAAGTCCTTACGCCCATCATCGTATCTTTAACCCTTTATGAATGTTTTAAAATCCGAAATTGACGAAAATTCCAATTTTCTTGAATTAAATAATATACCTTAAAATTTAAAATGCTATAATTTTAAATTTTTTACCGAATATTCAAACTATAATAAACAAAATTACGTAAATAAATTTTCAAAATTTTGTTTGCTGTTATGTTTTTTTTTACGTTATAACTTATAACAATATGCTTCCTATGTGCAATGTTACATCTTCGGTCTCTTTAATCTAAGATTAATATGGAAAATAAGAAAGTGTATTAATTACGCCTGGTATTATAAAATCTAAAAAGGTGAAGTTTTGTAACCAAGGCTACCACTAAAAAGTTAAGTATCGCACCTTTCAACCTTCATGACAACAATGTAAAGCATTTCTAATTAAATTTTATAATTCTTCTTTAAAAAGCAACATTAAACAAAATTGTTACTTATTCATACTTCTCGATTAACCTCAGTGGCGGGTAACTAAAACAATTTACAATTAAAAAAAAAAATCTTGAATACTAGGCGATTAGAACTAAACTTGTTTGTTTCGATGCGCTAAATACGTGGTTAAAATTATGGCACTTTTTTTCTGGGTCGCCCTGTATAGTTTTAAGAGCAAAATAAAACACAGTTAACAGATTTTTTATTGTTGTAATACAAGTATAAAGGGAAATTTGGGAATGTACATGGTATAACCTCATCCCTTAATTTCAGCTTTCCCCTTTTTGCTAACAGTACCATCAGTAAAGATTGTTTCATAATATTTGATAATATCTTCTAAAAAGTATGGAACAGCATCATCTCTAGAAAGTGCTTTAACGGCACTAAGAACTATATGTATGCTGCCATTGTTCCAAGCGTTTAGTATCCTATAAAAAACATTTACAATGACACAATTGGGGTTCAACAAAAAATAACAGTAGCAACTGTTTATCTAACATTAAATCTCTATAAAAAATAAATTTTCTTTTCTAGTAAGTTAAAATTAATGCATAATTATTGTTGTTTGTAAGGCAGCATCTATGATTGTAAAATTTTATATTATAGAAAATAAAGATACATATTGTGACTAGTTTATAATAAATATTACATTTAGACATGAATACATTATTTTGCTTACATTAGAAGCTTTAAAAAGACATTGAGTTGATTTTTTCTTGTGTTTTCTATAGTTTTAAATTTGATTTCTATCCTCTTTTACAATATGGAACGACGTAAATCTTGCTTTGATGTTTTTTGTCACTCATGTTATTTGTACTCAGGTATTTTTTTTCCCATTATTTAGATTCTTTTCACCAATTTGTTAAAAAATTACTTTATTTTGTTTTCTTACATAGAAAATTGATACCGCTGTCATTCGACATGCCAGCTACAGTCAATTTCGCGAACTTTATAAAAAGAAGGACGGAAATTTAAAATTTGACCATTGCCAATTCGCCTCCTCTCTAGTCTTCATAGTTTTAAATTTAGTCACAATTGTCAATTTGTACAGTTTAAAAAAAAGCACTAATATTTATCTCAATGATAAACAGTATAGATTTTATAGATATAGATTTTCAAATACAAGTTCTCTATGCTTTAAACTAAACATCATTAAAAATAGTAGTGATCGTATTAAATTTGTCATATTTTTGTACAATTTCCCTGAACTATATAAACGGTATTAAATGGATTATCTTCTCCTAGCACCTACAGCTATTCTTTATAGCTACATACATTGTAAATTCTTTTTACGTTTTCTTGTGTGTACGAGTAAAAATGTTTGATATGTGTAATGGCTTGTTTTCTTTTACAAAAATATACATGGAGAATGTAGTCGGTCTTTTTTTAATCGTAAATTTGAAAACTTATTTAAAAATGCAGTTTCATTTCAAATTGTTCTTCTTAAAGGAGGAAATGTGCATACAGGGCGTTTGAGATTGGGCTGTACATAAAGTAACTATAGTTAAGTAGCAATGAGATGGATTAAAAAGGATTAAAGTCTTTCATCTTTTTCCAACTACCAGTAAAAAATATATAACATAATTTGAAATGAAAATGCTGTTTAATTTATTAAATTAAATAGTAGGTATATTAATATTTATTGTTTTTATAAGGTAGGTAATGATTGTGTTAAGATAAAACTGCATGTGTAAAAAGTTACCTACCTAGTCCTAAAATACAAAAATAGGTACGTCAGTTTATTTAATAAGTGGATTGTGTCATTATTTGTGTTACCTACTTTAACTGTCCTATAAAATTATCGGTAATTTTAAATTTTCTAACAAAACCAGAAGCATTCTTACAATATTTATATTACGTATCAATGTATCACTTATATGGACAATATTAACATTACCGATAATATATAAAGTCAAAGAAATAATTAAGTGTTTTATAATTATAACAATATTATATATATTTGTTAAATGTGAATAATAATTAAGATCGAAGTATAAACGTATTCTAATAAATAAATGCTGATGTAAAATTGTCTTTTTTATTCATTTCAATGAATACAGTCCTAAAAACCACACGGATCGAAGTCGGGTGACTTAAATGGCGGCCGGTTTATTACATTCTAGATAGGAATCCTCCGGTGATACAAATTGCTTCTCCTGAAATATAGGTGGAATCGTCAGATGCTAGAAAAGCTGTTAATCCAGCAACTTCATTGGGTTTTCCGAATCTAAAAACAAAAATAAGATATTTTATATATAGGGTGTCCCAAAATTATTAAAGCTACTGTATGTTGGTGAGATCAAAATAAGTCGATTCAGCCAAAATTACCTATATCACAGTTCGCTTGTTGCCTTCAAACAAGCAACGCCGGTTTCTGTGCGAGACAAGTAGCAGCGATAAGTTTACTGTTTAATACCAGAGTCCATAAAAAAAAACATGTCTAGTTCAAGTGATGGGGAAGAATTCTCCGGATTTATGGATGTAGATCAAGATATTTCCATGTCAACGAAAAGAAAATACAACGAGTTGCTAACGAATTTACAGCAATTGAATGAAGAATCGCTAGACGAATTTATCGGAATCTCCAAAAAAAGGCTAATAGGTAAGAATAAAGAATCAAGCGGTCTTTTATTTAAGCTAAAACTTCTTAATGTGTCTGATGGTCTTATAATTCTTATCAAAAACTTCTTTTAAAATAAATAACCACACATCTCCAAGTTTCATAGCAAATCAAGGTGTACTGCAAGGGTCGCCACTACCTCCGCTCCTTTACAACATATATTGCTTTTATTTTCTTCAGGTCAGTTACATCTTAATGCAGTAAATTATACACGCCAATACGCAGATGACACGGCCTTGATATCGCATGGAAATACGCTGAATCAAACCATCACAGCACTACAAAATCAATATAACGAAGTTGCTCAATGGCTCAATTAATGGAGATTACAAGTTAACCCACAAAAATGTCAATTAATGATACCCTATCATGCAGTGCTTAAGTGGCTGATGCAGTTTAAAATCCTAGAGGGTAAAATCGCCACATAGATCAAACGACTAAGAGTACGACTTTAGTAGAAAGAGGAAAATCGTCGACCTACTTGGAAAGAAAGTATGAAATCTCTCTCCGGTACTTGTCATATTTGGCTTAGTGGGATTATTTTATCCTAGAAGAAGGCTTATTAAAGCGTGTGCTAGAGAATAATGATGGTTCCGAAAACAGAAGACATTTAAAAGACTATAGTAACCTAAATACTTCGCCAGTTACATGACAGTCTATCAAGAGGACATCTTGTTAAAAACACCCTTCAAAGAGATCGTGAAATAAATTATTGGATAAACAGTTTCGATGTTGGGAATGATTGGTGTAATAAATGTACCATCTGCATAATGAGTAATGGATCTCAACGGAAAAGAAAGGCTCCCATGAAGCAGTACAACGTCGATAGCCCATTTGAGAGCACTGCCTTAGATATTGCTGGACCATTCTCCATGACTGACAATGATAATAAATACATGATGGTGGATATGGATTATTTCACGAAGTGGGTGGAAGTCTACGCTATTCCAAATCAAGAGGCCGCAACTGTTAAAGACGAGTTATTAAAAGAGTTTATTAGTCGATTTGGAGTGCCCTTAGAAATCTAGAGTGACCAAGCCAGCTTCGCAGAGGAATCTGTGATAGACTAAGTCTAAAGAAAACCTTGGTGTATCATTTTCTTCAATTTACGATATTTATAGTCAATATCTTACCGCTTTATACAGCTCAGAGCCATCCAATTCTCTTTACCAAGTTCATCTTGCATAAGAATTTCACTGAAAGGCGTTTCTATGACTCCAGGTACCAAACAATTGACTGTAACATTCCAGTGGCCTAAGTGTAAGGCTGCCATCTTCGTTAGAGAAATCAGTGCCATTTTGCTGATAGGGTACGCACCTAGAACCTTTAAAAAACAACCAAAACTTACAGAAAAGTCACAAGATAGGGAATATTTAAAGATTGATAAACTTAGTGTTATAGCAGATATGTAAACTAACCTCATATGGTATGAAAGCAGACACTGAAGAATTATAAATAACTCTTCCGTGTTTACTTTGCTTAAGTAAATGAAACAGTTCTTTGGTTAGCAGCCAGCTGGTTTTAACGTTAATATCGAATGTTTTGTCCCAAGCCTCTTCAGGACAATCCAAAATTGACCCCATGAAAGGATTGACGCCTGCACATTGGACGAAAATGTCCAGTCCTAAAAAAATAAATGATGTAATTTATTAAGGTACTTTTTTGAATGCATTGTATCCAAACGTTTCGTTTCCAAGATACAGGGCGTTAAAAGTGAAGTCATGTTGACACATTTTTATATTTTCTAAATGTCTAAAGATAACTAAGCGAAATTTAGTATGAATGCTAAAGTTTATATGCTCTATTTAATGGACTAAACTCCAGTTTTTGATCATCTTCATAGGTGGGTAAATTAGGGAAGGCTTAGGGTATTTTCCTAAATAGGAAGTTTGACCCAAGAATAACGATCAAGGAGAAGCGTCAGCTTGGTGTTTTCAGTGTACCGTTTTGTTACGCGCATGTGCGAAAATAGGTTGTGTATTACTCAAAATCAAGTTAGTCCAAGTTGTATTTAGTCCGTGAGCTGTTAAGTGATATTTTTTGGTGTTTCTTTGTGCTGTAATAGAATGTCTAAATCTGGATATTCTTGTGCATACCGTTCTTGTTCGTCTAAAACCGGCCAAGGATTAAGTTTATTTACTTTTCCAAAGGACTACGAACAGTAAATATCATGATTATTAATTGCTATTGGCCTACGGCTCGCCCTGGAATCTGCTTGTCTCGACCTGCAAAACACTACTTTCCGGTCTTGTAACGTAAATTACTATTAATTATTATTCATTCCTTTCCAGTTGTTAAAAAATCTTTCTAATATTTTACGTCAATGGAACATTTATCAACTTTAAAATTTCCAAGAATTTACTACGCGCACACTATTTATATACTGAATTATCGTAGGAGCCCAGCGTGAGTTATAATAACTCACTATTAAAAGTCACGCTATTTGTTTATTGATACTATTAATTGCTCAAAAGCATAATAATTAATATATAAATTAATAGGAGCAGATAAACTATTTTATTATTGGTTTTGTAAAAAAATTTATTCTTAATTAAAAGATCTGCATGGTCCAAAACTTAAAATGCAACTATAGATATTAATTTTTTTAAGCCGTATACGAGGTTTATAAAAAATATGAATTTTTTTAAGAGTAAAATACCTTTATTTTTTACAATACAGAAGAATGTTATAAAGTTATTTTAAATTAAAAAATTATATTTAAATATGTCATTACAGTTATTTAGCATTATAAATTAATTGTAGTTATAAATTAATCAGCAAACCTAAATTTTAATGCCAAATTGCTGTAATTGAATATGTATTTGAATATAAATTTTAATTAAAATAACTTTATAAGATTCTTCTGTATTGTAAAACATATTTTCGATGTTTATATTTTGTATTTGTCATACACTGTCTACTTAAGTTGGAATCATATGGAAAACTTTTTTATTATTCCCTAATAATACTGATCTGCCAGAAACATCCCATTTAGGTCCTATGTATGTTGCTACTTTTCTGACATACATGGTACGTCACTACGATGTTTCTAAAGAAACGTTTCTGGAATAATTTCTCAAGAACGTTTTAAAAATATCGTAATTAAGTATGGGTAATATTTTTAAGACTAAAGCTTAATTTATAATCGTCGAAACGTAACTTAAAAACTTAACGTAAGAAGTTGAAATATAGAATTTACGAATACTTATTTATAAATATTGGTAACGTAACTTAAGAACTTAACGTACCATATAAAGTTCGCCAACTTTTAACTTAACGACTTAAGACCTTACGGTCAGCCAATGAGATAATTCTGAGATCAACATGTGATAACTGTTAATTCTTCTTTTTATTTTGTTTTTATAAATGAATGGACAAATGCCATTTGTAAACTATCATTCTCCTTTTATTATGGAGATACATTATATACATGAATGTTTTGTGTTTATGTGATAAAATATTTTATGAGATACGAGTGTTGTTACATATATCTATTAACATCAAGTCTAGAACTGAAATAAAACACAAAACTAGTTTTCTAGGAAAGATTAAATTGTCATTATTGCTTAAAAACAATCAACATCTTCGGTAAACTATTCTGTTTCATTATATTTTTATATTATTACTTTTAAAGTAGTTAATATATTCTTTTTATATAGCAAAATCATAATTTATGTGTTTTATTTGGAGGTTAGGTACATAAGTTACACTTGTTTATTTCATAAGGTTATCAACTATTTAATAATCTTTTAAATATAACACGCATGCTCAACTCTGACATTTCTAAATGTTTCAACAAATATTTAATCCTTTTAAATTTAGAAAATTCTGTTATATATTTACCTCCAAGTTTCTCGGCTTCTTTAACTAAATTTTTTCTCTCTTCAGTTTTACCGATGTGACAAACAACTCCTCTGACATCTAAACCTTTATCTGTTAAACTCTTGACTGTATCATCTACATTGTTTTGTTGTCTACTAGAAACAATGACTTTAGCGCCTTCTGTTGCCAGTCTTTCGGCTATCGCAAGGCCTATACCGCTTGTTGATCCCGTTACTAAGGCTTTCCTACCTTGAAGTCGTAGAGCATTGTTTAACATTATTTATTCTAAAAAAAAACAATTGTTAACATCTCGTACCATAGAAAAATAAAAAGAGAAGGTTTGAATAAATGGCGGGACTTATTTCCTTGTTGGTAGTTGAACCGTAAGCGCTTAGCGCGCTGCTATCACTAAATTCAAACCCGTTTTACACCTATAAAAAAATATGTTTTCAAAAATAATGACAAAGAAATCAATAATTTTACTGATTTACCCCTTTAAATTTCACTTTAATATAATGTGTGATCAAATACAGGGTTAATCGTTAATAAATTTAAAGTTAAAGCTAAATTTAAATATTATTAGATGGTGTAAATCTGGCTTTGAAAATAAATTAGGTTATGTTGATATAAATATGTCAGCCTGATGATTTTTTCATTTTCAAATGCAGGTGCTATTTTTTCAAATGTAGGTGAGTAAATTGTATTAATTAAGTGTAAGTTAGATTTAACTAATTTAACTATAGGGAGGTTCTTAACAAAATAATTACCTTCTGATTCATTTAAATTTTAATTCCAGAAGTAAGTATTTTTTTCACAAAACTAACAAGAAATTTTATGTTTTTCCTGCTATTATTACTCTTTAGAGATAAATGGATCCACATTTTAAACATTTGTGGTCAAAAAAATGAAAGGAGTTGTGAGCGAAATGTGTAAGCCAATTTACAAACAAATATTGTAGAACCCGAGATAGAACCTCATCCTAGCTTTACTCATAAAGACCATGATGAAAAATGCCAATGATTTGTGCTCAAAAAGTCATTGTTCAATTTTTGGGTGATATTCATTATTATATTTTTCAAATAATACCCAAATATGTTCAAAAACTTATATGCTACTTAGGTCAACTTGTTAATTTTTGCATAGTTCATATTTTTATTGAAATTTTTATACCTTTTATTGCAAGAAAAATGTAAGAATTTAAAAAAGTTATGACTCCCGTTAATTTTTAATTTTAAGATACACACTGCACATTTATTTTTGTTTTGTTTTAGATATTCCTGGGAATGGAGATTTTTGGAATGTGTTTCTTAATTAGGGTGAGTTTCAAAGCCCACCTGTATTGAAGCTGGAGGCTTATTGTACCCGAAATAGGCATTACAACTATTCTAGATTGAAATAGATGGGAAAAGGCCTTAAAGAGACAATAAGTATAAGAATATTAGAATTAGAATGATTTGTCCTTGTATTAATAAGGGATATTTAAAACATTAAAACAATTGTGTCTATAAATTATCTACTTTGACTTTTTATAAAAACTATATCTGGTTTTATTAATAATAAAAACCTTGTCATGTGCTATGCTGGTTATCATATTATATTTTTATTTTTCAGTAATTTAGTGTGTGATATAGTGCTTGTTATGTTCAAAATATTATTATGCAGTTAGAAGATAATGAGACACATGTAATTACATGGTAATTCTAAATAAATTAAACTTGTTAAAAATATGTTTTATTTTTCAGTTAAAACAAGTGACATTTTCCATTTTTCAACATTTACCTACAACAAAAATTCACTAAACTTATTGTTTGTTTAGTAGTTGTAAGTAAAAGTGGTCAAATAGGAAAATGTTACTTCAAATTCTTTCAAATATCTAAATTATCAAGCCCGCCAATTTTTAAATCGCTTTAATTAGTAGTGTTCTACTTTATCGACTGAAACTGACAGGTGTAGTTCAACCGTAAGCGCTTAGCGCGCTACTGTCGAGGTCAAACAAACTTGTTACCAACTATTTACATGGAATCCGACCCCCGTGTCTCGTACCCTGCATCACATAAAATCTCACGGCTATGCGAGTCGATCAAAGAAAATCGATTCGTCAAACAGGCCAAATATCGAAGTGATGAATCAACCAAAATTCAGTTCAGAGAGGTTTATGAATATGATATGATTTTGTAATTTTCGGCTTGCGAATAAAACGTTTGTATTTGTCTCAGTGATATTATTTAAAAATACCCAGTTCTTTGACTGCATATTAACACAATCAATATTCTCTGGTTCCATTATGTTAAAAACTTTTTTCTAAGCACAACAATGACTTGTATTTAGATTAAAATAACATTACAGTTTTAATAAAAACCTTATAAAACTAGGATATTGGAAAAATATAATCAAAAATCTAAGCTTACTTATTTAATTGAGACAAGAAAAATAATAGCAATTAAATAAAATTACTTACATTTTTAAAGGAGAAAGTTGGCTGCCACTTTGCAAAAAATATCATTAATAATAATAAAAAAATACATACTTTTTATCTTGTAATTAAAATTTAACGCGTAATCTTATCACCAATTAATTAAATATTATTCTTGAAAGAGTGTACACGTAAACATTACAGTGAGCGACTAAATTATGGAACAAACTCAATGTCGAAAACTGTCGAATTTTTAAAAAAATCCTGTAACAGGTAGATTTTTGTTTTTAATTGTTTATGTCTCAAACTATTTTTTAAACGGAAATAGCTGTCATATGATACACCATTTGAAAGGTATTTTGATCCTTTATTCAGCGATATAAATTGTTATTTAATTTGTTTGTATACACTTAAAATATTTCACTTTTCTTTATCATACAGAGGTGACTAATCTCAGTCCTACGTCTCTTATTTCCAATTTAACAAAACTATTTGACAAACTGTACAAAAAAAACGATTGGTATCTTATCTAGAAAAATATGACGTTGGATCCCAAAAACGGTACGGTTTCATCGAAATATATAATACGATTTGAAGTCGTTTAAAAAAAATATTTTTATTTAAACAACAAGTACAATATTTTTATGACTTCATTAATTGCAAGCTAATATCAGACTGAAAGTAAAATAAAAAAATGTTAAACACTTGTTCAGAGATAATAAGTAACTTGAACTGCCGGCTGGTGGAATTCTTGGAACTTCTCGACAGGTCAGCGGTTTCTATTATGTAATTAGCGAAAACAAATCAACCGAAGACGGTCCATTTAACAACTAATACACAGTATGGAACACCCAAATGGAATAAATTCGGTAATAAATAAATGGGGACACGCCAATTGGTATTTTTAGTTGCGCATTTTTGTTAACAAAAACTTCGTATGTCATGTAACAGTGGCCAATACCATTTTTCTTATTTTATATGCAACACCCTGTATATTTTTCGATTTTTGGATTGTTCAGAAAATTCTAAACACATTTTATGTACTATGTCCTCTACCTAACTGTTTTGAAAACATTAATGTTTTCAGATTTATTGCAAAAATTAACATTAATAAAATAAAATTATTTGATAAAAAAAATTCGTTACCACACACTCAAAACCTAATAAGTAATACTGTTGATTTCTTGATACTATAACAAAAAAAAACATCTCAATGTAGAAGATGTTCAAAATGCTCGCCACGAACCTCTTGGCAACATCCTAATCTGAAATAAAAATGTCTTCTAAACTTACTCAACATCTCATGAGTGACCGATCTAATCGCAAACGTTATTCCTCTTCTTAAGTGAGTTAGGTCGAAAGATTTAGTTTTGTATACAATACTTTTGACACATCTCCATAAGAAAAAGGCTAATGATGTCAGATCAGGCGATCGTGTTAGCCATTCCATCGATCCTCACCTCCCTATCCACCGATTTGGAAATACTCAATTGAGGTACTGCCGGACATTTATTTGGTAATGTGACGAGGCTCCATCTTGCTGAAACTACATCATATTCACTTGAACTTGTGGGTTTGCTGGATCGGGGTATAGGTTAGTTAAAATTGGCACGACATTATTTTGGAGCAGTGCTAAATAATAACGTCATTCAAATTGCCATTAATGGAAAAGGGGACCTATGATATGATCGCCAACAATTTCTGCCCAAACATTAACCTTTTCAGGGTATTGCTATTGTTCTTGTCTCATCCAGTGAGCATTTTCCCTAGACCAACAGCGGCAATTTTGATGATTAGTATTACCGTGAAGTGTAAAGATACACTCATCAGAAAACAAAACATGTTCTAATTATATAAAAAACGCCCCTAGTGAGGCTAAGCCGCTGTTTGCTTTGTAGATCCATATTTTGAGTGGATCAATTCCATTCTCTTAGATAATACTCTTTACAATGTCCCTCCATTTTTCCCTATCCTGGTACTTTTTCTTGCCAATTATTTACTCCTGTCTGGCGTAAATCTTCTTTAACTTCTTTTAGCCATCCTGATCTGGGTCTTCCATGTCACCTTCTCCCTCCAGAGTCCCATTGTAACATTGAAACGTGTTTCATCCATCTAACTCTGGATTATTTTATTTTTGTTATTATATCTTCTTCTATTTTAGTTTAATTTCCTCATTTGTTCTAATTCTATATTCTTCTTCTGTGATTTTTATTGATCCTAATATTGCTCTCATAATTTTTATTTTTTTAATTTTTAGACTTTCTTCCTCTTTTTTGTCATACTCATTGTTTTTGTCTGATTATTGTGTTGTATATTTCCATTTTTGTATTTTTTCTGAATAATTTGTACTTGTAGTGACTATTTTTTCTGATATTTCCAGTTTTCTGTCTCTAGTTTTAGCTATTGTGATTCCCAAGTATTTAAATTTTTGCACTTCTTCAAATTTATGTTTTCCTATTTTAATTCTAATTCTAATTGAATCATTATATTGTCTAACATTGCCATCATTTGTTCACAAAATTACGTTTTCCTATTAAAATCGTCTTTCATGAAAAGTATGGGAATTTAAATATCTATTGGGAATATTGATAATAGTTTCAACTAAATCAAAGTTGTTCTGTCACAAATGATATTTTCCATTTTCTTGTTACTTTAAATAATATTATTTTTAAATATACCTTGTTTTTTCAAATGGATGAAGCTATTTTACTTCTTCAATTAAAATCCTATAAAAAAAGCAGAAAGGAGAGCAAATAATTTCCCAAAGCTTTTTGGACTAAATGGAAAAATGAGGGAGGAAATACCTATGAATCTTTTCTAAATGAAACCAACATTCTTGTTCTTCTTTTCAATTTTTGTAGACCTCAGCTGCCAGGGCTATTCGGCCTATGGTTTTAGGTTGATTGGTGGTGGTCTAGACGATTTGCAATAAGGTAGAATTGGAATGTTGCCCTACTTTATGGTAGGGCTCTTATGGCTTCCCTTTTGAATTACACAGTTTTTATTACTTCACAGTTGATAGTTGCCCTACAGTTTGATGTTGGATGCTGTTAGAAATCCGAAAATGATTTTATTGTTTTCCCTGTTTAAAAGTCTGAACATTAGATCGAAAACTGAGAAGGGACCATATATATTTTTTGGAATCTTCAGGGATTTATGTACAACTTCTATGTTGTGTTGATTCGTTGAACATGAGAAAAAATATGTTGTAAGTCCTGACTTTGTCCACAATCGCACAAGTCCCTGGGAATCATCTTCAGTCTATTTAGGTAGGACCTTGTTAAGCAGTGGTTTGCTCTCATTCGAGATATAATACAAATTTCCTTTCTAGATGTGTGTGTGTGTGTATGTGTGTGTGTGTAGAGATAATGTATATGGTAGGAAGAACGAATATTTTTGGATCGCTTCGATTATTGGTGGGGTGTTTTTAGATCTCCAGAAACTAGGATCTCTTGCCCAATCAGTGAAAAGTTCTAGGATACTTTCTTTTATGATTTCTGTGTAGGCCATTGCTTGTTCACAATCCGAAAGCAATATATTGGTAGGAGTTGATTTCAGGTATCCTGAAACGACTCTGAGAGCTGTCAAGTTTTTTTAATCGGCTTTTTGCACATTCCTAAATAATATACATCCATTGTCTAAGTGGGGCAGGACTGTGGCTTTGTAAATGTTTAAGAAAGTAGAAGGGTGGCTTCCTCGCCATTTTCCGCATAGAGAACGCATTGGGTTAATTTATTTTGCAGCCTTGTTTGCTATTGCATCGATGTGAAGTTTCCATTTAAGGTTTTCGTCTAGAACTTTTTCCAGATATTTGTGGTTAGGTTTCCACATAATGAATGTGTTTGAATTTTGTTTTTGCCCCTTTTTGAATAGAACGGCTGAACATTTACTGGGCGAAATAGACAGGCCTATATTAGAAAGTCGATCAGAAATAGTAGATAAGGCAATGTTGAGGAGGTTGATGGTTTCTTAGATGGAATCTTGGGCACATATTAAGGCGAAGCCACTTATTTGGATGCTTTGACGAAGGTTTTGAAAAACGTTTTATAAGATGTTGAACAATAATGGGCTTAAGAGCGATTCCAAAATTACAAAATTATTTAGACTATAAAAAGAGGCGGCCTCTGATTTACTAGCATAAGGAAGTAATAATAGATCCCCCATTTTTTTTGAGTTTCTCACAAATTTTTCTTTGTATTCATCAATATAATCTATCACTACAATTATTTTTTTAATGCAAGTAAAGAACAAGAGTCAGAAATTGAAATTATTTATTATAATTGACATAAGAATCAATTATCCCAACATAACAACTTTAAAGTATTGAAATATCTTGATTACCATTGGACAGTTTCCAATATTTTTGTATTTAATACGAGATATACGTTGAATATACGAATAATCAAAATTGCCATAGTAAGTAGATTCCTAACCTAGTGGAGAATAGCGTTTTATAATACCACTGTAAAATAAGCAATGGAATTTTTAGTCATGAAAAATGTTTCTCGTGAAGTCGAGAATCGAGGCCCTTGCTGGTTCTTCTCGTACCTGAGATTCTTGCCAACCGACTACTGGATTGTCTGCAACTAAAGATTATTGTTCAACTTCCATTGTTCGAATTATTTAATTACTACGCTTAAAGTTACTATTGACATGAACATGAATAACTTGTTTCCAGTTGCCTAGCAACAATCTATTTGTGTTAAGGTTATGTATTGTTAACATTTAACGTTTATTTTTCCATATTACCATTGTTTTTTTAACTGCTAATTTTCACAATTTTTTTTTCACCTTTCAATTTCTTTTATTTTCCACAATACATTTTTTACACTTTTTTGTCTCACGCTTATGTTGATAAATTGTATTCAACACATTTGTATGGCTTATTTAAATTTTCATGTTGGAGACTTCTCCTCACGCAGTATGGTTCGCGATTATTAACCTTTTAGGTATGTACTAAATTTTTTTAGTCTATAAGTTGTATATTTGTAACATCGTTTTTCTTTCATTTGTAGACCTGATGATGGCATAATTGCCGAAACCGTTTGTCTTTAATCCATAAAGAATATTTATGTAGGACTGATTTTGAGTCATTTGTTACCTTTAAGATGACCACATTTGGATACACTTCTTCAGTTAACAAACAAGAATTTATGAAATAGGTCTCTTGTGGATCAATAAATCCAACAGAAAAAGGAAATCGTTTAATAGTTACCCACATTGGAAGCAACAATGGATTTTTACCAGATGGTTTATTAAGGTTCGAGACAAAGAAAACAGAAGACTATCATGAAGAAATGGATGGTCCTATAATTAAAAATTGCTTTCAGAACATTATATTCAAGCCAACTCCGTTATTTTTTTGGATATGCATCGTATCACAGTAGATTAAAAGAGTCACTATCTACAACAAGATGAAAACAAGAATATATTTCAAAATGGCTTCATGCTGAAAATATTTTCAGTCCTCCCAAATCCTTGAAGGCAGAATTATTCGTAATAGCAAGGCAACATAAAAACAAATTCAAAAATATAATATAGACGAGATGGCCCGAGAGAAAGGAATTGAAACTCTCAGATTGCCTTCTTACTACACAGAGTTAAATCCCATTGAACTGATCTGGTCACAATTAAAAGGTTACTAGATTCAATATTTCCGCGCTTTTTTCACGCATGAGTAATGCAAAATTGTCGAATAACGGTCTAATTTTGGTATCTAATAATGCGCCCTTAGCCTAATAAAAGTATTTTTGACAGTAGCATTTCAAAATGGCCTAACCTGTCATTAAATTTTCTTTGACTTAACCATACCGTTGATTTGTTAAAAATCTTCTAACAATGCTCGGTTGTCTACCATCACGCTCGCTGTTTTTACGACCGATCACATTCAGCATCCAAAAAATCCGCAGTAACTACGATTGCACCAGAAAAAACATACTCTTAACCAAAGATTCCAAAGTCATAGTGCAGGGGTTTACGGGAAAAAGCGCCACAGAACACTCCAAACTCTGCCTAAAATACGGCACGAAAATAGTAGGAGGAATCAACCCAAAGAAGGGCGGAAAGAAACATTTGGGCTTGCCCATTTTTGCGACCGTGGCTGAAGCGAAGAAATGCTTAGAGCCTCACGCTACTTTGATATTTGTTCCTCCACCTGCAGGTGCCAAGGTAAGTGGTGTATTTTATATTAAATCTTTCTCTGCATTAATGCTTTCATAACTTGTAGGCAATAATGGAAGCCATTAAAGCAGAAATTCCTCTTATTGTTGCCATAACTGAAGGAATTCCAGTACACGATATGGTTAGAGTGAAACACGCGCTCTTAAGACAGAGCAAATCTAGGCTGATAGGTCCTAACGGTCCTGGAATTATCTGTTCCGGAAAATGTAAAATTGGTATCATGCCTAACGCCATACATAAAGAAGGTATATCTATTGTTAAACACGATACGCCTCCATGTTATGTACTTGAAACTTTACTTCTCATAATTTATGTAAACGATTGCCTTCGTCTATAAAGTTACACGATTTTTTAGGAGTAGTGGGGATAGTGTCAAGATCTGGAACGCTCACGTACGAAGCCGTGGATCAAACGACGAATTTAAATTTGGGTCAGACGACTGTTGTAGGAATTGGCGGTGATCCATTTAATGGTACCAATTTCGTAGATGTAGTGGAAGTGTTTGTTCAAGACCCAAACACCAAAGCAATAGTTTTAATAGGTAAAGCAATAAATTTCGTTGTATTAGATAGTTTTTTCCGTGCAGTGATTTGGCGTGCAACGAAGTGCGCCAACCTGGAATTTAGCATCGTACGCCGAAAGATGTTTTGTGGGGTTGCTGCGCCAAGTCAAGGAGGCATCAAGGAGGGAAAATAATTTACTACCTGATAATTTAGAAAAGAGAACGTATTCTGTTGGTATCTCATACATTTCTCGTTTTATGTATTTATTCAGAGTACGAGGGTCAATGCAAACTCTGACATCACCATAAGGTTTGTCAACAACAACAATGGAGTAAACCCAGTCCGTTGGTTTCTGACCTCTACAATAATCTCTTGAGAGACCATATCATCTAGTTTTTCTATGACTTTTTATTGAAGAGCTAAAGGAATTTTTCTCGGAGCACCAATAAGAGGTGTAGCATCATCTCTAAGAATAATTTTACATTGTTTATCTGTTAGTTTAGTAATACCTATAAAAACTGTTCATCTCTTGTGAACTCGCTACCATTACCGTACTAATAGTCTTATCAACATTAACGATTTGTAATTCACATGCTGCGTCTAGGTCTAGAATTGAACTAGGATTAGGTGAGTCCAGTATGTAAAAACGGATAGTATTTTTAGCATTTTTAAATTCACAAGTAAGATTTAAGTTCCCTTTCCCATTTAATGTATGGTCCTAGTAGGACGAAAGTACTGTCACCACAAGGTATTTTAAGCTTTTTAAAGTCTGAATATTAGCTTGACTGCCTGTGTCAATTTTTTGTTCAAATTGTGTCCCGAAACATTTACTGATTCATACCACTCAATAGCATATATATTAGGATTGGCTATAGACTAGATAATTTAATGAAAATAACCATCAGAGTCTATCCCATTTTCATCATAATCACTATGGCTATTTTGTGATTCTTCGTGTACTATAGCCACAACGGCTTCAAGTATTACCTTTTATGTCTGCTTAAAACGGTCCTGGCTTTTAAAAATTTGTAGTTTTCCGCTTTATCACACTCACTACCGGAACATTCTGTTCTTTTGTTATTTCTTTTAAAGTCACAGCACTACTACTAATGTCCAGGGACTCTGTTAACCTAAGAATAGGGTGTTCTAGTGGTTTTCTCGCGTCTTGAATTCCCAAAACCACTGTCACGAATCATTGTGTATTTCTCCTTGAATTCACAAGTACCTGCTAGGTTCTTCAATGCCGTTACAAATTCATCTACCACTTGTCCCATATTTTGATCACGTTTGAAACATTTTTAGTGTTCATATACAACGTTAATTACAGGGTTACAATATTTGTCGAATTTTTTAAGGACTATATTTAGTTTTTCTCTGTCCTCCTTAGGTTCAAATTCGAAAATATTAAAGATGGTCCTATCTGATTACATAATACTTCCATTGTCCTCTTCAAACTTTGTATCGAGTCTTGTTGGAAATATTCAAATAAAATTTTAGTGCCCCTTGTATGATATATTTTTTTTAGTTTGAAAGTTGTAAAATGTCATATATAAAAAAGATTAGTTGTCAATAAAATATCTTTATTGGAAGACGTTATATATTTTATTGTTAAGGTTTAAATAGAATCCTTTCAATTATCTGAAATCTGTAAGATTCCAGCAGTCCAAACAGGTCAAATTTACCACATTTGGCGACCGTGACAGGACACGATCTGTTGAACTTCGAGGATGGAAAGGATTAAGAAAGCCCGTATGGGCCAACGACGTGCATTTACAAAGTTGTATAATAATCTTCATGAGTTATTGTTCCAATCTAAACCAGATATGATACAATTAGAAGTAAATATAAGAAATTTTGATCAAAGATTTAACTCCATTAAAGAATTAGATCAACAAATGTATGATCATTTACTAAACATCAGTTCAAACGAAGATGATATTGTTACAGAGCTTGAAACATCGGAAGAATATCTTACTAAGTATAATTTTATTAAAGTTTCTTACGAAGCAATGTTGAATAAGAGAATATCTGATAAAGCTGATGTTAAGAGTATCAGTGGAGATACCGTTCGTGGTCAAAATAAGTTAAACTTGCCGAAGATCGAATTTAAAAAATTCGGTGGAGACGTAAAAGACTGGTTGTCGTTTTGGAGCCAATTTCGTCGCATACATGAAGATCAAGAAATTGATGAAGAGGACAAGTTTCAATACCTAATTCAAGCTACAGCCCCTAAAACCAGAGCAAGACAAATAATAGATAGCTTTCCCCCTACTAGTAATAACTATTCCAAAGCTATCGATAGCCTCACATCTCGTTTTGGTAGACCAGATCTCTTAATAGAAGTCTATGTTAGAGAACTACTTTCCCTTATACTTAATAATTTAAATAAGGAGGTAAAACTTGCAGATCTTTATGATAAAATGGAAACACAGTTAAGAGCACTTGATACATTAGGCGTTACTTCGGATACATGTGCAGCTATGTTGTTTCCGTTGGTAGAGTCTTGTTTACCAAAGGAATTTTTGAGAGCTTGGCAAAGAAGTAGTTTATACAACTGCGATTCTTCATTAAAAGATCGACTAAATAATATTATGGAGTTTTTAAGACGAGAAGTCGAGAGCGAAGAAAGAATATTGATGGCCGCTTCTGGTTTTAATATTAAAGGCGGAAATAATAAATTGATGAAGAGAGATATGTTTTGTCAAGAAGAAAGTGTACCTACTGCGTCAGGACTAATAAATCATAAAAGTTCACCCAAATGTGTTTTTTGCAACGGTTTTCATTCAAATGCAGACTGTACGAATGCCAAAAAGTTTTCATATGAAGAAAAAACGAGAATTTTAAAAGATAAAAGGTGCTGTTTCATATGTCTAAAATTTGGACATGTATCTAGAAATTGTCACGTAAGAATCCACTGTAATATCTGTAATAAACGCCACGTGAATCTTATGTGTCCTGAGAATGATAAGAAAGAAAATAACGTACATGAAAATAAAAAGCAAATTGATCTTCCACCAAGTGAAACTCTATCAAATAGCACACATTGTGAAGTATTCCTGCTGACTCTAAAAGTAAAAATTATGGGTCCTAATAATTGTTATCAATACGCACGAGCTATAATAGACACGGGGTCCCAAAGAAGCTATATTAGCAAATCTTTAGCGTCTACAATACAATGTGTTCCTCTAGGTGAAGACGTTATAATGCACGCTTTATTTGGTGGTGTATATTCAGAGAACATTAAACATATAAGATATAGAATTTGGCTGAACAGTGTAAATGATAGTTATTCATGTAATTTTGAAGTTCTAGATCAAGAAGTTATATGTAATAGTATCAATCATGTGAAAGAAGGACCTTGGATAAAAGAACTCGAAAGTTTAGGCATTGAAATTAGTGACAGAAATCCTGAACCTGTAAATATATTAATAGGAGCTGACATTGCTGGAAAATTAATAACTGGCAAACAGTATAAACTAGACTGTGGTTTAGTAGCTGTAGAGACTTTACTAGGGTGGACATTAATGGGAAAAGTTTTTGGTGGTTCCTTATCAAATAACATGATAGTTACTTCATTGTTTTCGGCGTATAAAGAAATTTCTGATCTGTGGAGCTTGGAAACCTTGGGTATAAAAGATCCGGCTGAAAAGAAAACAAGAGAGCAAGTAGAAATAGCAGTTAAAAAACATTTTCTTGAAACTGTTTCTATAAATTCAGAAGGAAGGTATGAAGTAAATATGCCATGGTTGCAAGGACATCCCCCGTTACCCACTTATGAAGATATAGCTAGAAAAAGATTAGAAACTGTAACCGAAAAATTGAAGCGTGAAGGATATTTTGATGATTACAGCCAAGTCTTTAGAGAATGGCTACAAGAAAATATTATTGAGGAAGTACCACTCAACGACTTAGCAGAAACCAAAGGACACTACCTACCTCACAGACATGTAGTTAAATTAAGTAGTAAGACTACAAAGATTCGTCCCGTTTTTGATGCCTCAGTCCACCAGAAAAATCAACCTTCATTAAACCAATGTTTAGATAAAGGATTAAATTTAATAGAGTTGATACCTTCAATTATGATAAGATTTAGATTACAAAGATATGGAGTTGTATCAGATATAAGAAGAGCTTTTCTGCAGATAAGTTTGTCGCACTATGATAGAGACTTTTTGCGATTTTTTTGGTATGGTGAGAATAACGAAATTAAAGTTTACAGACATGCTAGAGTCGTCTTTGGAGCAACTTGCAGTCCATTTCTGTTATGTGCCGTGATATACTACCATTTGAAAAAAAAGATGAATGAGAGTATAGATCATTCATCTTTGTTTACTCCGTGGATAATTTCAAAACTTGCCAAAAGTTTCTATGTTGACAACTGCGTGACAAGTGTTGATAGTATTGAAGATTTGCACCAATTTATAAAAGAATCAACTGATATGATGTCTGAAGGAATGTTTGATTTAAGATGTTGGGAGCATACGAGGGTTGATCAAGATGAAGACGATATCGAAAATGTTATTCCAGTTTTAGGATTAAATTGGGATAAAAGAGAAGATGCCCTGCTAATTAACAATGATTGTTTTAAGGATAACATATCAAATAAAGTGACGAAACGTAAAATTTTATCTTATGCTCAAAACATTTTTGATCCTATTGGATTTTCTTGTCCAGTTTCTTTGTGTCCGAAAATGTTATTACAAAAAATTTGGAAGATGAAGATAGGATGAGATGTTGAAATTCAGGACGATATCAAAACAGAATTTTTGCGATGGTTGAATGAATTGTCTTGTTTGAAAAGGTTAACAATTCCACGATGGCTAAATATATCTCCATATTCTGAAAATTTGAGTTTACATGTTTTCTGTTATGCATGTCAAAATGCTTATGCTTGTGTAATATTTTTAAGATCCGTAACTGACAGCACAGTTTATGTGCATTTACTTCAAGCAAAAGCGAGGGTATCACCAATTAAAAGGGTTACAATTCCCCGTTTAGAGTTGATGGCCGCAACAATTGGAGCTAGGCTATCACAAGCTGTAAAAGAGAATTTTGATAAAAATATATTAATATATTGGTGGACAGATTCTACTACCGTTTTATCATGGATAAAGAGGGAGGAAATATGGAAACCATTCGTGTGGAATCGAGTAGAAGAAATTCGAAAATTGACTCATAAACATTTTTGGTACTATGTTCCGGGAGAATTGAATCCAGCAGATCTACCTTCCCGCGGGTGTAGTCCTAAAGCTTTATTAAAATCTAATTGGTGGCTTGGACCAGCTTGGCTATATAAAAGTGAAGAAAGCTGGCCATCTCAGCAGTTTTTATGCAATGAAGATCTAGTTTATACAGAGAAGAGGAGTGAGATAATTTCTTTGTTTAATGATACATTAGCCGATGACTGGTATTATAGATACTTTTCAAAATTTGAGAAAATTGTTAGATTAATAGCCTGGATTAATAGATTTATTTTTAATTGTCGAAATAGGAAAAATAAAAGAATAGGAAGTTTGGACGTTGAAGAAGTTTTAGCTGCAGAAACTAAATTATTTCAACTTATACAAAGAGAATGTTTTGGAAATATTAAACATGAAAAATTATCAACGTTATGCCCTTTTACAGATGACCAGAGAATAATTAGATTACGGACTAAAATATCAGAAAGAAGCGATAATGAAGAATTTCGCTTTCCTATTGTTTTACCGTCACAACACCTTGTAGTAAAGAGGCTGATTTATGATCAACATGTTAAATTCTCTCATGTTGGTATACAAGGTTTGCTGAGTATTTTACGAGAGAAATTTTGGATACTCACCGGTAGACGAGCAGTCAAATCCATCATCAATAAGTGTGTAGTTTGTCGAAGATTCGAAACTAAAAGGTTGAATACACCTCCCGTGGCATTACCAAAAGATCGAGTTGATAATGCTTCAACATTTGAAATAACCGGTGTTGATTTTGCTGGACCACTGTTTTTAAAGAATTTGGAAAAAGTTTGGATCTGCATATTTACGTGCGGAATATACAGAGCCATCCACCTGGAACTTGTTACATCACTTTCAACGGAAGTATTTTTACAAGCATTACGAAGATTCATTGATCGACGAGGACGACCCAGAATTATCTATAGTGATAATGGAACTAACTTCGTCGGAGCAGAAAATATGTTTGAAAAATTGGACTGGAAAGTGATTTCTGAATACAGTACGATTCAGAGAATTAGATGGAAATTCAACCCTGTAACAGCAGCTTGGTGGGGAGGATGGTGGGAGAGGCTTGTCAGATTAGTAAAACAGTTACTACGGAAAACTTTAGGAAAATCGTCTCTCAATTTTGAAGAATTGTCTACTGTAATATGTGATTGCGAGTCTATTATTAATTCTCGACCCCTGACATACCTCTCAGAATCCGGTGACGATTTAATGGCTTTAACACCCAATATGTTTTTGCGAGACTTAAACAAAACAACTAACGTTACTGATATTGACAAAGTAGATTCCTCACATTTTACGAAACGTATTAGATATAGACAGAAATTACGAGATGCTCTAAAAGAAAGATTTCGTAATGAATATTTGGGACAACTCATTTTATATTCAAAAACAAAAATACATAAAGTCAAGAAAGGAGACTTGGTATTTATTGGACATGACAATATGAAACGTATAGACTGGCCCTTGGCGATCGTAGAGGAAGAAATACATGGAAAAGATGGAGAAATACGATTATTACGACTAAAGACAAAATCAGGCCACATATTGCGACCACTCCAAAGAGTATTTCCTTTAGAGGTCGAAATCAAAGACAGATCATTATTGGGGAACTCAAATATTAGTGAAAGACAGACTTCCATTTCATCTAAAGAAGCTACAAAAATATCTGATTCCAAAACCGAGGTGACCCGAAGTGGAAGAACAGTTAAACATCCCCAAAGATATGGTTTGAGTCAGTGATGTGACTTCAAAAAGGGGGAGAATGTTGGAAATATTCAAATAAAATTTTAGTGCCCCTTGTATGATATATTTTTTTTAGTTTGAAAGTTGTAAAATGTCATATATAAAAAAGATTAGTTGTCAATAAAATATCTTTATTGGAAGACGTTATATATTTTATTGTTAAGGTTTAAATAGAATCCTTTCAATTATCTGAAATCTGTAAGATTCCAGCAGTCCAAACAGGTCAAATTTACCACAAGTCTCTTTAATGAAAATAGGACAACGATGGATTCTCTCTTCTTCTCGTATTTGTAGAGAAAACTGATATTCCAGAGCAATTTTTTCCTCCTCGCTTGATTCCGCATTTTCTATTTTTTTACAGAGGTATAGTTTTCACCCCACTAGAAGAATGATAGCAAATTCCCCTCACCATTTCCTTCCTCAAACCTTTCCGGGTACATCAGTATTCTTTTCTTCTATACAAAGACAAAAATATGGCGATGGGAATCGAATCCACGAGCTTTGTTATAAACAAAACATTGTTCCAGGTGAGATTGGAGGAGTTCAAGAGGAACAGGCGGCGGAGTACCTCCAAAAAACGAACAGTGGGCCCAACGCCAAGCCAGTCGTGGCGTACATAGCCGGTCTGAGTGCCCCTCCGGGTCGTAGAATGGGTCACGCAGGGGCCATCATTTCCGGAGGCAAGGGAAAGGCTGTCGATAAAATAAAAACATTGGAGAAAGTCGGCGTGAGGATATCCCCCGTTCTGACGAGAATTGGAGAAACTTTGCATGCTTTCATGAAGGAGAAGAAGATAGCATAAGATTATTTTACTAAATATACGTTTCATTGTAGTAATTGGACAATTTTATTTAAAACGTACAAGGGCTATAAGCTGTAACATATATACTACTACCCAGCCAAACACTTTTTTTTATTCAATAATTTTTGATGTTTCAGATAATTGTGGTCTTCTATTCGTAATTTCAAGCGCCATCATTATGTTTTAGTTTAATAAAGTAAAATTATCTAGTTATTCTGTCAATTTAACTATTTTTATGACACTCAAAATCATATACTCTCAATTCGTATAGGTATTAGAGAAAAATGGGTAATTTTTATTCAAAAACCGAAGAAAATTGTTCAAAAGAGACATACGAAAATACAAGAGATGAAGATAATAATAACAATGCTGTATCGTGACATTTTACTACTAACCCTAAGTAAATTCCAGGGTGAGTACTGCTCGTTTTGTATTCTGTATGGATGAGCATGTTTCTTTCAGTGATATTATTTCTGGTAATTTTTTTGCTGATATAGGAATCTCTGTCGGTTTAATTTGAAGTACATTGGCACTATTGGTAATAGCCTTAGATTATACAAACCTTAGATGGAACATAAGACACTGCGCATAATCCCATTTCGAAATTATTCACACCCACCAATCACAGTTGATAACATCACATGTCAGAGCGTTGTCCATCCAAATTTAATGTGTCAACGAGAATTACTTTGGTATTTTAGTGACTTAAATTTTGGAAATTAACGTTGAAAATGCCAAGATGTGTTGTAAAAAGCTTTATTTATAATAAAAGTGCGAAATATGACGGAGATAAAAGAAACTTATATTTATTTCGGTGAGATATTTAATTTTAAAAGATTCTGTCAACGTCCATATTTGTTGATTTGAAAATAAACAGAATCGGACTTGGTCATTGGTACATGTTATAAGTAACAAATAAAGGTTATTTTTATAAACTGTTTACTATTTCTTGTTTCATGGGGAATCTGTTTTCAGGAAGTGGAAAGAGAAACATACAAATACAAAAATATCAATTTCATTGCCAATTTATTCGTTTCAAACTTCACAACTGGTTTCAATAGTTTTTTCAAAACTATTTATTTAGTATTTCTTTATAACAGTGTTACTCAAAGTGTCCTCCGCGGAGCCCTGGGGCTCCGCAAAGCAAAAAACAGTACTATCGCCATAAAATGGAGGGACCTGGCTTGAGAACCTTTTTTTTGAGAAGTAATTTTTTTAAGTCGCTAAGAGGAGGGAGGATATGATTTTGCTTTGGGACTTTTTTTTATTTTATTTTTTATGGGTGAAATGGATTTGGGATCATTCTTGCAAGGAATCTTTGGAATTAATCAAAAATAAATTAACAACAAATTATGTTCTTATGCATTTTCAGCCTGAGTTGCCGAATAAATTAATCGTAGATGCATCAAATGTGGGAATAAGGGCCATGATATGTCATGTTTTTGAAAAAAATGTTGAGAAATCTATAGCTTCTGCTTCGCGTATCTTATCAAAGTCTGAACAAAAATATTCAAAAATTGAAAGAGAGGGCATTGCAAAAATTTTTAGCTTAAATAAATTTAATGAATATTTATATGGACATTTCTTTATCCTAGTTACAGATCACTTACCTCTGGTAACTATTTTTAACCCAGCTAAAGGTATACCCCAATTTTCAGCCAACAGAAATATTGTCAAATTACAATTACAAAATTGAATATATGAAATCGGAGCATAATATAAAGCCGATTTTTTTATCACGTCAAAATGAGACTCAAAATGAAGAAAAATTTGAAAAATATTTTTTAAATTATGTGTTTTATGTGTTGAGGGCCCCGTCAAATATTTCGCTTGAAGTTTGAGAAACACTCTATCCATTTAATATATATTTTGTTATTTTCTTTAATTTTGACATATAAAGTAATATATTTTGTAATCGCAGCAAGTGCCAAAACGATCTATTTTATGCAACTAGTAGAACATTATGCAACTGATTACGAAAAGTTGATTATGTCACCAGTTACGAAATGAAAATAAGTCGAAAAATCGAAAATCGAGTAATCGAAAAATCTAAAAATAAAAAATCCAAAAAACGAAAAATCGAAAAAATCAAATATCGAAAAAAGGCAATGATTAGTGACATTTCACATTTGAAAATATGACATTACGTTTAACAACAAAAAAATAAAAGCTGTAAATTGCATTTTATTTTATAAATAATTGAACAGCATTATTGACAACTGTCCAGAAATGTTGACGTACTCCTTTAAGGATAATGGGTAAAAATGTTTTTTTTCAAATTTCTCGCGGGTAATGTCCAAAATCAGATCGGCAACACTGCACATGTCCCTTATTTTTATTATTACTACTGAAAAGAAAACGTCGTAGGGCAAACAAATACAACAATTTTCTGAAATATTTGATTGGAAGTACCTACAAAAGAATGATGGTGAATTATTTTTTAACACAATTTTATAAATAATCACGACAAAATTAGAAAAAATCTTGTATGTAAACACGTTACATAAATAGCTATTAATTGACTTCCTAATATTTTAAATCATTGAACGGTATTTTTCGTAAATAATTACCGGTATATAAGTACCAAAACATTTTTTCTCTTCGAAGAGTAGGCTTATGTCAAATAAACCTAAAATATTATAACGAACAAAAAGGTAACCAATTTCTAATAAAATTTAATTATTTATTTTATTTTGGTGTGATCGTAGAAAAAATCTTGTGTGTAATTCAAGCAAAAAGTAACTTGACCGTTTCGATAACTTTTTGTCTCAACAGCTATTTTACAATAATACAATAATTTTATAAACTTTTACTTAGGGTTGGTTTCATCGTTTTGTTAATCGAAGTTTAAAATACTAAACGAAGATTAAAATGACATTTTTACATTAACAATGTCATTTTAATCTTCGTTTAGTAATTTAAACTTCGTTTGACACAACGATGGAATCGGAGCCCTTAGCTAGTTATATATTGATGAAGTGTTATGTTATTGCCCTCATCATAAATGAATCGTGCTAACAAATAAAGTAAAAAAAAACGTCTCATAATTAGGTAACTACAATACAAATATTTAAGTCCGGCCCAGAACATCTCCCTACTCCTTCCACCCAGTTTTTCGGTTTTGACAAAATTCGCGCAGTGACAAATGCTTCCTATGTTACCTCTAACCTTTCTAACCTCTTTGGTAATAGCCCATTTTATCTGACATGCTGAGCCTTGTTTTGTTTTACAATTGTCAGTACAGATTTGAATCGTGGACGGATCCGAAGGAAGGGGATGGGGAACATGTTTCTTATTAATATATAGAATAATATTTTACAAAAAAATCTTGTGTTTACCAAATTCATTTTTGATACTAATAATTATATTATAAAAGAAGGTCTTTTGGTGTAATTTAGGGTCGTTTCAGAAAACCTTATTAATTCAGAAAATTTATAAAATATAAAAACATTTACGGATTCACTAAAAAATAAAATAAAAGGAGAGAACCTATTTTCTCCCTCGGAGGGTGATCGTGCATAAAAAGACTAATTTACAATATAAAAAAATATATATTTATTTACATTTCTATATACAAACAATAAATATCAAAATTACAATAAATCAGAAATTTGTTTGAACTGCATTGATGTAGGTTCTTTAGTGCTATCATTTTCGATACCTTCCACCTCATAGGTTTCTTTATTTTTTGGCGTGCATACTTCGAAAATAACGACAGCTCTGAAAAAATATATAAAATTTGAATCTACAATAAAAGCAAGTTCTTTTTTTAAATTTTTACACAAAAATATAATATCTCTAATATCCCAGGTAACAAGCGTACGTCATAACAATGTACTGTTGTTGAGTTCGGGAGGTGGACTCCTTTTACTTTTTTCATTCCATTACTAACTTCAGTCCATGCTAGATGTGAACTTAGATATAGAGTGAAAAGAAAAGAGTAAAAGGAGCCCACATTCCGAACTCAACACGTATAGGTCTCCGAGCAATTACTACTAGAGGGAGTCTTCCCCCCTTCCCCGCGCTAAATTTTGTTAGCAACATCTACTCCCCCCGAGGGGGAAAATACCTCTTCTGTAATTGGCTTATTTAATCAGCGTTGCCAAGTTTGACAGCGCCAGAAGTTTTCTGTGAGCGCCAGTTCTGACACTTTCTGACACATGTCAATTTCTTATTTGTATTTTACGGAAAATATTATTATTTATAACGTTGTAAAGGTTGTAAATGTATATTTAAGATTTATTATCTCTAATTATATGGTGAAAACATGCTTTATGTGTAAGAGGCCTGTTGAAAATGCTTCTTCAAGATAATATCATAAGTAAGTACAGACACAACCTAATTATCAGAGGCGGTGCATTAGGCAATCACCTTTAATTTGCAATTAAACTTCTTTATTTTCTTATCGAAAAATTAAAATTAAGAGCAAGTACACTCCAGCTACGTTCGTCTTCATCCGTCTCATAATGATTATAGTAAAGGTTAATTACTTATTATTATTATTATTTTAATATCACATCTTTGTAAAGTTTATTGTTATTTTTCTTAGGTTTCCTTTTCTTGATATGAGAAAGAAATACATGGTTCCAAAATATAGGAATTCAACAAGTGACCACCTGAATAACTTTTTATGCTAATGCATTTTTATTACAGATCTCAGGGAAGGAAAATATTAAAGAAAAATTCAATTTCGACAAAAGAAGTATAATAATCAATCCTGTCACTACTTCTACACTATATTCATCTGCTACTAAAATACTAAAACAGCAAGTAAGTAGAGAAACTTAAGTTTCTTTCAAAAAGAATGTTTAAGGAAAAAGGCATAGCTATTTTTTTGTTGACACTTTTTTTAACTAATCTAAAAGACTAATTTTGTGTATTGTTTAAATGTTCATTTTTTGTACTTAATTTGTTTTAGGTTTAAACTAAATGAACTTCTAAGATATGCATGGAATATCCCAAAAGAGCTAAGGAAGGTTTTAAAATTCTTAAGAAAAGTATTCAGAGCCAAAAACATAAAATAGTCTTCCTGTCCAAAATATAAATAGGTATAAATATTTAGATGTTATGAGTGATTTTTTATTCTATAAATAGAACATAATTTGCTTCTAAATCACTACCTAATGAACTATATTATATAGTACAAAACTAAACAAGAATATCACATTATTCATGTTTTTTTTTTAATTTCCTTAAAAAACGTCCCAAAAAAATGTGAATATTTATTATTGGAGTTAACATCGTTATGCTAAAACAATACTAGAACAACTTAAATAATGTGGATTTTGACTATTTTGAGTCATGCAGATCATTATGATCTAAAATAATGTTTGTGTGGTGCTATAGTCAGGTATAAAAACATTCATTTATTTAAACACAGTTGCAATATACATTTTATTTAGTTTTAAGTTAAAACCTATTAGGACATCCTAAAATTACTTTTTTCGTTTGATGTGAGATTAATTATTCTACATTTTTGTTGGTGAAATAGGATATATTAAGATGTCTTACTGTTTTCTCTGATTATCTAAAAAGTTAGAACAATATACAAAGACTGTTATAACAAAAAATAGATATACCTTTACTGAAACACACAATTAGTCAGTTCAATTGTACGATAATTTAAAGCAGAAATCCAGAAAACTTTAAAAATGTGTTTAAATGTGTTTTTACTATAACAAGGACATAATTATTAAAAAAACTTGGCACATTAACATTGACGATGGGTTTTAATAATACGAGTATATATTATACAAATCACAACGAACTACACAAAATGACATTATTAATAATTTAGTAATAAAAAAAGTTAAGTACAATGATGACATTAAAAGTTGAGTTTCTCGAAATACTTTTTTTAAATTGTCTCAGTAACTACCTAGTATTTTTCTAGCACAATGATATTATATGAATGTGCATTGTGTGATATCTTATATTTTAGGAATAAAATTATATATTTTTTTGCAGGTTTCTGTTAACAACGATTCCAAGAACTTTTGAAAATATTAAAACGGCATTTGCAAATATAATTATCAATTAAGAGCTTTTGATCTAACATTAAATTTTTATTCTCCATAAGGTTTTAGCTTCCTAAGAAGAAAGTTTATCAAGACTTACCAGACTCAAAATATCAAAATTTTATCAACCAATTGATGGTTCTACTGGTTTCCATAGGAAAATTCTCCTCGAAACTACTAAAAGAAAAGTGGCAGAGGCAACCGAAGAAGGCAAGAAAGTCTTTTGCAAAACAAAAACTAGAAATTTGTTTAAGAATCTATTGTTTGAAGTTTTACCATTAATAATTTTTGATAACGATTTAAGATTATAAAGTTCTATTATGAATTTTACTCTTTGATAACCTATGTTTAAATTTTTATTAGGACCAAAATAAATTATAATTTTCACTTCAACTACAAAAACCCTCATAATATTAAAAAGGGGAAAAACGTTAGATTAGTTATGTTCAGGAATAAACTCTTTAAACATTTATCTACTTAAAATGTGTTACTTTTAGAAGGTATGTTATTAACTTTCTATTTGTACTTGTATTAATTTATTTCATTTTATTATCTGTTGTATTTTCAAATTGATTTTGATATTAATCTTATCTATTTATATATTTTTTATACTCGCATATGTTTTTTTCATTAAAACAAACGTTTATTAAATATAATAAATTCATGTTGTTTTATTATATGCTTGTATGAATGATTACTTTTATTTCCTTTTAAAAATGAATTTCGAAGATAAAGCCGAAACGGTGAGTGAGAATAAAAATTAGACGAAAGTGACGATATTTACTGGAGCTTTCATCTACACGCTCCTTTTTCTAGCCATCTACACCTGAGCCAGCAAGATTCGTCTTCCCTCCATCTTTAAATTCTCCAGATTTACAGAGAAAACGCCGTCCTCTTTAACATATCCAGACCTTCTTTGATGGGGACTATACCACTACATTATCAGCTTTATTTGTTATCCCGAGCAATTTAAATGCATTCGTAATTGCTCATTCTCACCTCTTCTCTTGTAGATTTCTTATTTTTAGTTACGTTTGCACTGCTCTTTTATTTTCACAGCTTTAATTCTATAATGCTGTAACGCTACAATATGGATCCATTTATGTGGTTTATACTATTTAATGTTATTCGTAAGTGACCAACCTATTATAATAATTAAATATTATTGTATTACAGGCCTGAAGATGTTCCTGTAAGGCCGAAACTAGTCGCTCCTGTATTTATAATAAAATTTATTTTAAGGTTTTATTCTTCAATTGAAAAAATTAGACCTTTACAGTGATTTTGTTTCTTTTTCTGCATTAGACATATATATGACGGTATTCATTTTAAAAATAGTAAAATTAGCAAATTTTTTAGTTTTTTTTTACAATTAAAACGTTTGGACAATGTGTGTTTTTATAGATAAATGATACGCCACTGAACAAGAAGGATGTTTACCTTCCCCCTTGTGCCCGCTTCCTCACTTCCTCTACAGATGTTGCTAACACAACAATTGCCTACAAACTCGTTTTCACGCTCCCTCTAGTAGTAATTAGGCATTCCAACGACCTGTCAAACAATAGGTGCCAGTGGGAAATTCTTGTATATTTAAGGGGGTAGCGACATAGTCTTGCAACTTGGACGCTATTTTTATTCGAAGTAGTACTCGCCAAGCCTGCCAATTTATGAAGAAATGTATAGGTGGGTTTTTTAAATATTATTTTTATTGTGTTTGACATAAAATATTTAAATGTAATCCATTATTCATGATTTTACGTAAAGTAGATAGAATACACCATATGTCGCCACCCTTAGATATACCAAACCTGCCCACTGGTAATTCATTTGTTTGGAATGCCTAATTGCTCGGAGGTATAGGTCATGTCAGACGTCATATTAACCCCGAAGTTTACGTCATTTTGACATCTAAATGAAGGTCAAATGTCAAGGTCAATATGACGTCAGTATATAGCGTGAGGTTAGGTCATATACCAGACGTACATACGACGTCACTTAAACGTTATAAACATCGTAATCAAGACGTACTTTTTTGGTTAACTTTATTGTTTGTTTTTTCTTAAAGAAACTCACAATCACTATAAGGATGGACGATCATCTACTAAAACCTAGATCAAATATTATCAATATCGTGATGGTTACATTTTTTAATGCATGTGATATAATAATAATAATAATAATAATAATACTCTCCCTAATTCACCCCCTTACGAGTGAATTTTAACCCCAAAAGCTGAGCTTGTCCGGGGAAAGGGACGGCTATTATTATTATTTGCCGTGGCGCTCCGGGGCGACTTAAAGATGATTGATGGTGCCATTTGACTTACAGGTGAGGAAAACCCGGAAAACCTCACCCACCATCATCATATATTAATAAGAAACTCGTAATTGTGGATAGAATTTCTATTTATTATTGTGGAATAAACTAGTTAGAGTTCATCACTGCTATAAAGTTGATATTTCATGAGATATAGTTATTTACCTAGATTTTTTATATCACAGTCATTCTATTTTTTTGTGTTACATTACTGACCAGAAAATTACGTCTTAATAACGTCATTTGAAAAATGACGTCCACTTAATGACGTCCATAAGACGTTTTGCATCGATGACGTTCAACGTCAGAAAATCACCAATTAAGCACGTCATTATGACGTACGCTTGCTACCTAGGATGACTTTAAAACATAATCCTTATTTTTATACTTGCAAATAAAATAAAATTGTATTGTACAACTAGATACAATTAAGAATAACATTTAAAATTGAAATTTAAATCACTTGATTTTGGAATATTGTTGATTTTTTAATTAATATAGGCATATACAGGGTATCCCATTACCCATTAGTGAGTAATTGCACACGCAAACAAGTTTTCAATAAAAGTTTTATGGATTTGAAACAGATATTCTTCGCAAAAATATTTTTAAATATACAGTGTGTTGCGCTTTTACCTGGTAAATAAAAATTTATATTTTTTAAATTGAACACCCTTTATTTTATTTCAGTTTTAGAATGATCTGGTAATACTGTATTCAACCCTAAAATATATTATTTTATATATTAGAGTTGCCAAGCAATTATTTTTTTTGTTAAATTAGAATATAATGTAGACCTCAAATTAATTTATCATAATTATTTAGGTAGGTTAACAATAATTTCAGAATTGTTTAAAATAGGCTTATATGATACCAATCTAATGAAAAGTGGCGATAAAACTGGTTCATTTTATACAGAGTGTTTTGAAATATGTCTTAAATATGGCTAATTTTAAGTTTAATTTACTCAATTTTTTCAAATGCAACACCCTGTATATTATTTTAGCATAAAATTCTTTATTAATTTACCTATCCAAAGATAATAACATGTTAGTCTATAAACATATACATGATGTTCCATCAGTGTGTAATTTATCAATAACTGTTTTATTATTGAAAATACGAAGAAATTTTTAATATAAAATTTTTATGACCATATTTAACAATTGTTCTTAATTATACAGGGTAGTCCATAAATGAAGAGCTGACTAAACTTATACCTTTTTTTATATTCTATAACATTGTTTTTACATCGTTAAACACATTTAACAGAGTTCATTCATTTGCTCTGTTGTATATAGGGTGTGTCAAAACGCGAGGTAATGATTTTCTTAATTTTTTTAAATGGAATGCTCTGTACGTTATACAACCAATTAATTGATTCTTTCATATCTTTCATTTTTTTTTCTTTGGCATTCCTTATACCAAAACACATTTTTTAATTTTTTATTTAATTTAAAATGCTTTATAATACTTGTGAGGTCGCGAGAACAGAAAACAATCCATTACTTCTGATAAATGAGCTGACAAAAATTTTACGCGTTTGCTTGATTCATTTGCTTTTGTCATAAAATTGGCTGATTTGCAATTAATTCTGTTACGGTCCTTTAATTTAACCTGTAAATATATAGATGTTTTAAACTGTGTAACCTAGAGCTACTAATAATAATGACACAAAACATTGTTATTTTCATGAACATAGGATTGTTTTATTTAAAGAAGTATGAAAATCAGTTAGACCTACCAATTTGTTTTGTACTTGACCAAGGTTTCTAAACTCCATTAGAATTAAAAAAAAGTGAAACAAATATAACAATTTTTATGATAAAATCATCAAAATGTCAAACAAATACATGGTATTGCAAGTTGCGATTTTGCAGGATTTTATAGTGTTTTGATCAAAAATTTCTTCGTATGTCTAATATTATAACAGCTATCGGTCAATTACGCACCCTCTATGTGTATATGGGCTAGCATGGTAGCTAGCATGGTAGCTGGTATCGTTGGATAGGTACATTCACAAAGAATCTATGCTAAAATAATATACAGAATATTTCATTTGCAAAATCGAGTAATTTGAACCCTGTAATATTTAAAAAATATATATTTAAGCGTTGAATAAAGTAGATATTACCTGATATTACCAGACCAGGCAAAAACGTAATACCCTGTATATTCAAAAATATTTTTGTAGTATGTCATTTTCAAATCCATCCAATTTTTATAAAAAATTTGTTTGCGTGTCTATAACACATCGATTTATCGAGCAATTACCCACTAATGGGACTCCCTGTAGACAACAATGTATCATCGACAAATAAATTGATAAAACCGCAACTCTCCTATAAGCTGATATCATTCATGTTAATTAAAAATAAATAACAAAAGACCTTAAATACTTATCTGACATTATAACAAGTATTAAAAGTAATTTAAAAAAACCGACTTCAAAATCGTGCAGATGCCATCACCACATCTTAATCAAATTTATATGGAACCACCCCTAATGTACCCTCTTACTAACAAAAAAAGAATCATAGAAATCGGAAAAGATTGTAAAGAATTATCGCTAAACATATACAAAAAATGAAGAGTTTGAGAATTTTATCATACACCCACTTATTAGATTTTGACTAAATTTATATGGATCCACCCCTGAGGCACCTTCGTTACTAACAAAAAAAGAATCATAGAAATCGGACAAGGTTGTAAAGAATTGTTGCTAAACATATATAAAAAATGAAGTGTTTGAGGATTTTATCATGGACCCAATATTTAGATTTTACCCAAATGTATATGGAACTACCCCTGAGGTACCCTCTTACTAACAAAAAAAAAAAGAATCAATGAAATCGGACGTGGTGGTAAAAAAATATCGCTAAACATACATAAAAAATGAAGAGTTTGAGGATTTTCTTATGAACCTAATTAATAAATGATGACCAAATTTATATGGGACCATCTCTGAAGTTTTACCTTTCTAACAAAAAAAGAATCATTGAAATCGGACACCGTGTTAAAGAAATATTGCTGAACATACATAAATATATATACCGATGAATTGAGAACCTCTTCTATTTTTGAAGTCTGTTAAAGAAAGATATTTTAAATACTAGAAATAGTGTTCATTAAAGTAATATCAAATTCTCCATTTTTGTGCTAAGTAACATATCCTTAAATTTGTGAAAAGTAAACAAATAGTACTTACCCAACTAAAAATATTGCGAAAGTGTAGAGAACCGCTGCCAGAAAATTGAAACTACCAGAATTAAAATTGATAGTAGCGTTGTATACCATCGTGAATAAGTACGTGGAGCCTACACCGACTACACCACCAATTCCTATAATCACAGAAAATATCTTGCCCATATCTTCTGGAGGCACTATTTGAGCTATGCGGGTTCTTAACATTGGAGATGAGGATCCTGAGAGTATAGCCACAAAGCTACCTGAAATAATACATATTGATCAAATGCTTCTCAATCATAAATGTTGTTAATAATAATAATAATAATAATAATAATAATAATAATAATAATAATAATAATAATAATAATAATAATAATAATAATAATAATAATAATAATAAAAATATTAACATGTTTTTAGTAAAGGAATAGCTATTTGTGTATTAAGAGCGGAAAGTGCTACTTTTCCGCTTAAGATAAAAAGTTTCCGCGCGACCCGCAGCGGAGTGCGGCATTTTATATAACTTGATATAATTAAGTTATAATAACCATAAGTTGTGCACATAAAAGCAACGAAAGTATGTCATAAAATAAGTTAAATAATATTAACGTAGTGTTTATTTGTATTAATTACAACTTTTTGGTCATAAGAAGATTCAGCCATTTTATTGTATAAAAAGGAACACAAACTTTCTGCCATGTTGGTAAAAAATAAACAAAAATAAAATTGTGATCTCATTCTGTATTATTATTGCAATATATACACAAAATAAGGTTACATTATGTGTTTTTTAAAATAACAATTATTTTGTAATATTTTTAAAGTTTTTTTTTTTCGTAATTTTAATAAATTTTAAAACCATTATTTTAATAAACTGATAAACTACAATTAAATGTTACTCCGTAAAATTTGTTTTGTTAGAGAATTTAGGTAGATTACACCAACTTTTTAGACTAAATGTAAGTTTACCATTAAGGTTTACCTCTCTGTTTTTAAACTAGGAGGAGCGAATTGAAAAGACGCATTTACACAGGAAAAAGTAGCTAGATTTGTAACTAAGAGCGAGTTTCGAAATATAGTCGTGTTCAAAATTTATGAAATAATTATCTTTATCGGCCTTAGTCGGTGAACGGCCAATGAGCGATTAAAAAACGAATAAATGTCATAGAAGTAATTTTTTAATTGGTCCCAGACAACGGTCGCAAATTTCACATTATTGTGATCTGAAATGTGTGTCTAAAACGAAATGTCACTGTCAAATTAAAGTCAATATGGTTGTTGATTGATGTCAGAAATAATTTTTTCTTGCTTTTGAAATCGACTTTTTGAGAATAACTATGATCTTTTTAAAATGGATAATAAATATTTAAGAAAATTGTTGATGGAATATCCAGATGTAGCCAGGTTAGTATAAAATATAAAGATCTGTTTACATTTTTAAGGATATATTTGTCATAGGTATAAAAAGTAAAAGTTAATCAGTGAATGACAAGTGGATCACACAGTAACTGGTATCTCTTCTATGAGTAATGTGGATATTATGGCTTATTTAGTGTTAGCCTATGGTTAATGCGCTAGAGGGCAAATAAAGGCATTCAAAAGTTTACAGGCCTATGAGTCAGAATTTGTTTTGAAAACTGGAACCAACATTTTCATAACATTACATGTCAACATATATTTTTTAAAGTGAACTATTCATACATACTTATGTATTAATTTTAAGTATTTTTGAAATATTTTTTGTGGAAATAATGTTAACTCATTGTGCCAAATTAAGATTATCCCTAAAGTAGTAGATGGTGTTTTAAATGTTATAACAATTTTGTAAATAGTTTTATTCTATTCTAATAAATAAAATTTGCTTAAATATTTAGTTACATTTTAATCATTTTGGTTAGAAATTCATCAATTTTTAGTTTTAAAAAATGCATCTCTTCATGGTAATCTCCCATCTTTTTACCTTCAAAAACCAATAATGCATTTTCTACAAAACCTTCAGAATCAGCATGTAAAATAATAAGGTGTCTTCCCTTTGTTGTAAGGCTTTTCAGGAATTGCTACCTTTAATAGTACTTAATATATTTTCAATACAATTGCTTACTGAAGAACTATTATTTACGAAATAAAGTAAAAAACTAAGTAATGGATGAGATAAAATGTCAGAACTGTCAACAATATCAATTATTATTAGCTGATGTTCATGCTAAAAAGTAATGTGTGAAACTGACTGTAACCTGACCAATCAGAAGGCTACAGAATTGCCAACTTAAATTCAAATCGCTCCTCTTAGTTTAAAAACAGAGTACAGTTGCCATTAGTAAGATAAATATGATGTAATGTCATTTTGTAAGAAATAACTCTAAAATGTTTATACCTGTTGGTCTTCATTAGATATATAAATAATAATCTATAGATAAAACCAAATTATATCATGACATAACAACTCTTAACAACGTTTTTATATCCATTTGTAATTACCTAATAACATTATCTTTTTATAAAGTCATGAGTTAGTTATAACTGGAGTTATAGCGACTACTATAGAACGTATAATACTATTAGGTTGTATATATCCACCAAAAGTCGCATAATAATATATAATAACGGTATAGTGTATTAGAATATGTAAGTTGTTTTTAAGAAACGTTGTTGCAACGTCAGTATAACCCTTATATAACTTTTTGCGTCACTTGGGAGTTTAATTACAAAATTATGAAATAAATTTAAATGACACCAAAGAAACTATTTTCGATAATTTAGTGTTTTTAACAAAATAATATAACCAATTATTTAGCATTGTATTATAATGAAAATTGTTCATAGTAAAGCTCAAATTTTGCTTTATTTAAAACTCCTTTAAAAATTCAAAAAATCTTTTTACTTTTTTCAATAATTGTCTTTACGTTGGTTGATATTTTGCCGTCATTATTGTGGTAATCGCAGCCTTAAAGTGTTAGATATTTATTGATTGGCAATGAATTAAATAATTATAACTTATTAATAATAATTAATAATTATAATTATTGTCTCCATAGTTTTTTAATGCTTTAATAATTTGTCATTTATTAATTTTATTTCCATTGCTCTTTCCTCAAGTTGTACTTTTCTAACAGGCCTGAAACTATTTGCCTTGATTAATTATGTTTATTGTGGGAAAGAATTTGAGATTTCCCAACAAACATTTTGTTATAGCAAGTGAACGACCCTTAAATTCTGTGACGTTACTTCAAGTAGTGACCTTTGATTGGGGTCTGGCGTTGATAAGCCGTCTTTTTGTGACAACAGGCGGCAGAAAACCGTCATCACTTCACCACTTTACCTAGTAGTGAAAGGCCTGCAAATAGCCAACTGTTTTCCATATTATTAATGTTAACTTCCCTTCAAAGGGCTTGCATAAAGCTCTTATAAAACATTACGCCACGCAGTTAATTGCAGATTTCAAAAGGGCTATATGAATTTTTATCGCTGCATGTTGAAAAGAGTTAAGAGCCATAAACGAATACTTAAGGTTAAAAGGCAATTAATTACAAATTTAAAAAATGCCATAATAATTTTACAATCGCAAGTCATCAACGGTTCATCGAATGATTAAAAGCCAGTTATTTAAAATTCCAAAAGGACCATAACAATTTTAAAGTTGCATGTCGAGGGTCAAAAAGCACGACCTCGTAAATAAATTTTTTTGCGAAATTGACCAAGTCTGAAGTTAATCAGTTTTCAATTTTAGCGGTAAATCGCGAAATTCATGACCTCATATTTACATTCGCGCCAATTTTGAAAGCATTACCTTGTATATCTGTCAGTCAGCTCCATATTGTCGAACGTTATTGTTGTAGTTCATGGAAGTGCTTCGTGTTTTTAACTGGTAAAATGTTTAAAATAACTATAATTTTATATTACTTTTAAAAGAGTTGTTTTGAACATGTTGTTAGATGTTTTTGTCTTATTTATTCTGCAATAAGTATATATTTCATTATCCCAAAAAACATTTTCTTTCCAGGTGACACTTACGAGGTCCTGCATTTTTGAAAATTCAAATATAATTAGCACTTGCGAGGTACTGTACAAAACTACTAATATAATAATGTCTAACATAGCAAGAAAGATAGTCGCAGTGGCTAAAATTCTGCACTCAAATGAATCAAAACAGTAAACGAAAACCATGAACAAGAAAATGATCTGAATTTGACAAATATAAGTAAGCTTAACAATAAGTCTTTTCTCGAGCTTAACTTGGAACAGCTTCTGAGCCCTGAGAACATTTATGAAATAATCAGTGACGCGTAGGTTTTATTCGAAAGTAGTTCGAAGCCAGGAATATTGTAATGGCTAATACTTCTTTTAAATTATAAATACGACGATTCTTTTAATATCTTTATTTTCAAGAAATATGACATTCCAATTTTACCAAAAAATTCAAACTTCCAAGTATATAAACATGCTTCAAAAATATAACAGAACTAACTACTAACTGTCTATGCTACCAATTAGGTCAACAATTTTGTATATCTAACACTTCTCCTTGTTGATTAATTTGTAACTATTGATAAATAAAAAAAAATAACTATTTAAGTAGGTGCCAAAATACTTATTCATTAGACTGCAAACCTAACATATAACAAACTTACCTCGTTTTATTCCCAGCTAAATTTTTTATAAAAATATCAGCCAAATTATTATAAGTGGATACATAATGAAATAACAATTCTCTAGTATCGACCAAATCTTATGCCAATATGTTTAGTCTTACTGGACATTACGTTATTTTTGTCAAACTAATCGCCCCCTGATTATCACAAAAGACAATACCAGGATCTGATAAAAAATTATTTAAACATAGTTCATTAAAGAATCCTTGATCCACAACCATTCCTTTGCAATTTCGGTCATTGCCACATATTCTGCCTCTGCAATTGGAAGGGGCACACTTCTTTGTTTCTTTGTTTGCCAAACAACTGCAGCACCTGCAAAAATTATCAGCAATCCACTCCAATATTTTCTGTCGCTTTTATTATTAGTCCAATCTGAATAGGCAAATAGTTTAAATTTTTCGCCAGTTTTCTTGAATACTAGCTTCATGTTTATTGTGTCTTTAGATATCTTAATAGGTGCTATACTTCTACCCAGTGAGTACGGTTCACGTCATTATTAAATTGGCTTAAATATGACACAGAAAAGGATATGTCTGGTCTGGTCCCATTTGAAATATACAATGAACTACCTATGGCTTTTTGGTAGATTGTTTCATCAAATTTCTCTGTTGGTTCTGAACTGCTTCTTATCTCTAATGGAGTAGATAAACCTTTGAAATCTTCCATCTTAAATTCTTTTAGAACTTTTTTGATATATAATTTTTTATTCTAATTTCATTTCACATGTGTCTGGTCCCTCTACTTGTATTGAAAGAAAATCAGATATTAAACCTAGCTCTTTTAGTTCCAATTCATTCACGTTCGTTGGAATGATGATGACTGGAGCTGGGTATTATTCTCAGGTGAGTCACGTTTTTTCCTCACTGGGTCAGATGGACGTCGACGAGTGTGGAGAACACCTGGGCAAAGATATGCTGAAGTTTGCATTGATGAGCATCTTCCATTTGGCTGTGGGTCAGTTATGGTTTGGGCGGGAATCACTGCATAAGCTCGTACAAAGTTGGTCTTCATAGAAAATGGCTCCCTAACCTCTCACAGGTACATTACGGAGGTGCTAGAAGACCATGTTATGCCTTTATAGTGACTATGGGGGAACGTGGCATTTTTATGCAAGATAATGCGAGACCACATACAGTCAGAATTATCAGGGAGTATCTGGATGAGGTAGAAATTAGGCTGTTTGACTGGCCAGGCCAGACATGAAACCCATAGAACATGTCTGGGACGAGTTGGGATGATGGATCCGCAGACACACACCAGCACTAAGAACTTCTCAGGAGCTGAGAAGATTGTTGTTGCAGGAATGGGATAACATCGACCATAATATGATCTGCAACTTAATTCAAAGTATGCCGTGCCGACTTCAAGCAGTCATCAATGCAAGAGGAGGGAATACACGTTATTAGTGTCAAGTTTTTTCATTTGGTTTGTTCCATATTTTCCCTAACAACAAAATGTTGAATTGACAATTTCACGCACTTTATTTTTCTTCATATTATTCATTTCGTTCTCCATTGCTTGATACCATTTTTCAGCATTATTTCCGTTCATGGCTTCTTTTACTGTAGTGGATTCATTTTCTTCATGTTTTACAATATTATAGAAAGTACATATTTTCGGTTTAATCTGCCTAGTAGATCTTCGCACGGTTGTTGTTACCTTCTCCACTTCCCCCTGAAAACAACTCTTCAGTAATTTCGAGTTTCTTCATTCTTAAATAAATTTTCTTTATGCACAACTTCTTCACTTGTCACATGGTTTTCATTTAGTTGTTCTTCTTTTCTAGGTAAAAGAAAGATTCTTTCTTTTCTTCACTTGTTTTATCTTTATCTTCTTTATATGAAAAGTAGTCTTTTTGAAATATTACATCTCTATTTACAATTATTTTCTTTTCTTTTATATTCCATAATCTATAACCTTTCGTACCTTGGAGGTATTCAAGAAATAAACATTTTACTGCTTGCGTCTTTAATTTATTTTTGTGAACATTTGTTTGCGCCCAAGCGCAGCAGCCAAATACTATCAATGGTTCAAGAGTATCTCTGGTTAGAGTTTTAGAGTTCGATACTTCATAAGGGATTCTATTATTGATAGCTCTGGAAGGACACAAGTTTCTAATATAACAAGCAGTACTAAGGGCCTCTGCTCAAAAAGCAAACCGCACTCTAATAGTGTTAAGTTTAACCTTTCTGCTTTACCATTTTGTTGTTGATTGTAAGGAACTGTTCGTCTGTGCTGAATTCCGCTTTCTTCTAAAAACTCTTTAAATTTATTACTTGTGTATTCTCCGCCATGTCACTTTGAAATGTTTTTATTTTTAAATCATTTACATTTTCTACTAAAGCCTTATTTTTTAAATTCTTCAAAAACTTCACTTTTCGTTTTAATTATTTTCACTGTTACATGATTACTAAAAATGTTACGAAATATTGTGTACCTCCCTGCGACTCAATGGAAATTTTTCCAGAGTAAATAATTTCCAATAAATGTGTATTTCTTATACTCTCTTTTGGAAAACTAAACTTTTTCATTTTCTTCATTATACAAATCTCACGTCGTTTTTATTATTTACATCATTTTTATAGTTTATACACGATATTTCATTTACAGCGTCATTATTTACATGTCCAAGTCTTCTATGCAACATGTTTTTACCAATTTTCATTACTTCTTGAGCTTTTCTTAAAGTTTCTTCAGTTTCAAATATATATATATACTATTTTGCTTTTTTGACAATAATATTACTTTATTTTTATCAACTATTTCGGCTATACCGTCATATAATAATATTTTACATTGTTTTTCTTCAACCCTACTAAGAGACAACAAATTATATTCAAGTTTTGGCACATATAACACATTTGAAAGTTCAATTTGAAATCCACTATATTCTTTTTTACATGTAGTAATGCTTTACAAACGCCTTTTATTTTCATAGCTCTGCCTCCTGCTGAGAAAACATTTCCAATTTCAATTTCTTCAAAGTTATGCAAAGTTTCTTTGAAAGGTGTCATGTGATCAGACGCTCCAGAATTTTTAAAATTTGAAGGTTTGTAACACAAAGGGCTCTATATTCATGTGATACTGTAGCACTGTATTTTCATTAATATTTTCATTTTCACGGTGTCTTCCTGATTGTCTATAATTTTTAGCAATATAACTTTTGCCACCACACAAAAAACAAAATATAACCTTTTTATAATAATCAGTTTTTGTATTTTAATAGCTAAAAAGCCATCAACGCCCCTTCGAATAATTAAGCTTAAAATACCGTTAATTACAAATTTTAGAAAACGATTTTATAGATATGTGGGAAACATTTAACAGTCCATTAATGGTCCATCGAAAAACTAACTAAAGGGACATACCGATTTTACAGTTATAAATTATCTTGTTACCACAGTCTTTAAAAGTCTAACACCATACCACAACTTCAATGTTTGTTGGGTTGATTTCTTTATTGAACATACCACATTCGATGAATAACTTTTTTAGTACCATAAAAAAATGACTATTAGTCTACAAAGTAAAAAACTAATTGACTTACCCAAATAGATATATCCATCCTTTGTAGCTGAACCCCATAATAAGCAACATCCAACGATACTGAACAATCCCAGCAAGGCCACGACAGTTTCTTTAATTTTGAACACCTTGTTCAACAGCATGGTTCCCATAACGGTTCCTATAATAGTGACGATATGCGAGAAACAATTGAAATAGTTGAATTTCTCCAACGTCCAAGTCAGCTTTTTTCTTAAGAATTGAAATCTGACGATACCAATACCATTAGTGGTGAAATTGATCAGCGTTATTGACAGGATTATGATGATTATTATCACTCTGTCCCATTTTCCTCTCTTTTTGCAAACCACCTTGACCATGTCTGCGATGTAGGTACATTTAAATGTTTCTTTTAAATTATTCTGTAAGTAAAAACATCTTAATACTCGTATTATGAATAAATAGGTAAAATTCTTACCTCTTCGGTTTTTTTTACTTGAACTGATTCTGCTAGGAAGAACATAGTGTACAGAGTTCCTATAGCAAGTGTGCCAGTAGCTATGAAGAAAACTGTTTCGTAATTGGTGGCATACAACAGTGGAGCACTTGACAGTGATCCAATTAGAAGACCGCACAACATTACTGCTTCGTATATTACCATTCTAAAATAACGAAAAAATATAATCAATGCAATTCACTCTAGTAAGTATATGCCATTCAGTTTCTTTTAAATAGAAGATGGCTACGACAGTCATAGCTCAATATGTACATTGTACAGTAATACCGATACTGCCAAAGTTCTCTGCTTCATCGCAAACAGACTAATAAAAAATGCAACATTGCCAAAAGTTATTTTGTGACTTAACAGAGATGTTCATAGATATCAAACGAAACAACTTCATGCAATTTCTACCCAAAAACATATTACCAGATTACGAACCCTACTTGTACGTTGACGGAAAAACTATTCAAAGCGTTGATGACCAACTTGCTATCCACACTATCCAAATTTTGATAGGGTCAATATAATTAATATATTCCTTTCAGTTTAGCTTCTTGTCCAACATGACACCCAAGAATTATTAACTACTTTTAAGTTGAAATTGGCAATTTCCTAGTGTAACAACATTTGAAAGTTGAGTTATTTTCCTTGTGAAGCAAACTACCGCTAATTTGTTTTCTCAAATTGTTAGACCGTTTTCAAACAACCATTTCTGCATGTCTTCTACACTTAATGATAGTTGATAAATACTAGAATCAATACTTTTATGCTGAGTATAAAAAATAATATCATCAGCAAATTGAAGAATTTTTGTAGGAATAGATATATGTCGTTCTAAATCTTGTGTATAAATAAGGTATAGAAGTGGACTTAAAACGCTTCCTTGAGGAAGACCAAATTAAGTTTTTATAGGTCCTATAAATCCATTATTTATTCTAATTAATAACTTTCGTCTTGTATATAGTTTATAAATATTGTCACGCAGGTTTTAGTATCACAATTTATTTCAACTCAACTTTTACAATAACAATGCAACTGAAAACATTAACGTATAACGTCTATCATAAAACTGGAAACTGACGTCAGGATCATCCTTATATAGCTTGCTTGACCCTTCTCGAACCTTTTCGAACTGTCGTTTAGAATATTCTTGACGGGTTAATGACATTTTCTAACTCTACTCTTGTCTTTTCCTGTTATTGTTCTAAATTGGTTTTTAAATGCTGTTGCAATTTCGTTTTCATCTGGCCGCCCTATATATTTTGTTTAGTGATCCAATAGAAAAGTCACATCCCTCTTTTGCATTGACATAATATATGAAAAAAAAATCTTAAAAAACGATTGTTGAATTGTATTGCAGAATAATTATATAAACTTATCAGTGTATATCATCATTATGAACAATGACCATAAAATAAAACAAATATGTATTATCTCATTGATAAAATTTTTGTTCTAAATATCTTCATTATCTAATAGAAATAGATAAACAGTCTCTTACAGTCAATAGAGTGTGTAATGAAACATTTTTTGACATTAGCTTTAAAAAATTTTTACAACTTTTTGATATTAATAATACACCTACGTTTAGTAACAAAAAGTTACTAAAAATTATTGAAACTTCTATTTGGGTACTCAAAACACTATATCTAGCCCTTGTATTATGAAAATAAGTAATTAGAACGTAAGAGGGCCTAACAATTTTATATAACGTTAAAAAATCTATGAGGTGTAAAATTAGAGGATGGACGGATATACCTATCCCGTACAATAACTATCCGTTTCCATTTAAGACACACTAAAACAATTGTACAGATTCTATCTACTTCTGGAATTAAATTAAATAACTAATTCTTTATCTTTTAATAAGATAACTTTTACAACATTCCAAACATATTCATAATATTGTGTAATCTGAAATTGGAAAAAACTAATTATTTAACAAGAATAAGGTCACAAGGATAACATCGCAAGGATAAAGGATAAATGGCAACGTCGCATTCTCAGTAAAACACGTGAATGTCAGCTTCGGTTGTTTTGAAAGTTTTTTTTTTTTATTGAAATTAACGTGTCTCGGCATAAGGGGCCATTGACACAGGTACAATAATTATAATATTACAAGAGGTTTTACAAAAATATACACTATCTACAGACAAAAGAAAAAAAAAACCTAATTTACAAAACTATAGGGTACAGGAAAATAATTTATACTCAGCTTCCTCATTGCCTGCAATCCCGACATGAGAGGGAACCCAAATAAGGGAAACAGAAGTTTCTACTGAAGCAAGAAATTTGTGACAATCGTGTATTTCTTGGACCAAGGGATGTTGAGTATAAATATTTTTAATAGAGTAGATCGAAGAAAGGGAGTCTGTACATATAGCGACATAGTTATCCTCAGCAGTTAATGATTTAAAAGCCTGAAGTATCCCATAAAGTTCCCCAGTATGAATACTGCATGAGGAAGGTAGCAAGAAGGATTTCTGGAACTCATCATTTGAGGTGACAGAACAACCTACACCGGATTGATCTTTAGAAGCATCCGTAAATATAATTCTTTTAAATTTGTTGCTATAAATTATTTCCGTAAATGATTGCCTAAAGAATTCTTTTGGTGTGTTACTTTTATTGACTTGGCTAAGCGAGGTATTAAATTTGGGTAATTTTTTTAGCCAAGGAAGACTTTTAGAAATGGGAAAAGGCATCGTTTTAGTGAGCTCAATATCACCGAGTAAGGATTTTAGAGCCTGAATAATTGAGACAACAGCCCTAGGAGAAGTAATACTGACGAATGTGTTATTGTTTGAAACCAACAGTTAGAAAACAAGGTTTGAAGGGTTCGCAAAGATACCAGCAGCATAGGAAAGAAGAAGGTACTGTCGTCTAAGCCAAAGAGGGGGATCGTTGGCTTCACAGTACAAGCTTTCTACGGGACTTGTTCTGAAAGCTCTGAAGCACAGTCTTAAGGCAGTGTTTTGAACTATATTTAAGGATCTTAAGTTGTAATTGGAGGCAGACATATAAATAAAACTACCATAGTCTAATTTTGATCTTATAAGAGCTCTATAGGTCCTAATAATAACACTTTCATCAGCACCCCAATGATGGTGAGCTAATACTTTCAATAAATTAATTATCTTCAGGCAATCGTTCTTGATTTCTTCGATATGTAACAAAAGTGTAAAAAACCTAATTTTTGTTGACTTATATTGCAAAATGAATAATATGGAAACAATTTTTAATCAAATAAATGAAAATTTACAAGTGTATTGTACACGCACAAAAATTGACGATGTGTTTAGGCTAAACAGAAGAAACAATATAACAAAACCGGCTACTATATTAGTAAAAAATCAGATTTATATGGCAAAAAGGAAACTTAAAACATCAGGAGTTACAATCCATGAAGATTTTTTGAAAAAACAATGTGAACTACTTCAATTATCAAAAACCAAATATGGAAACAAAAATGTATGGACAACAGGCGGTAGAGAATTTGTAGCAGACAATGAACTGAAGAAGAAAATCGAAAATAAGAAGGACCTGTAATGTAAAACGAAGGTCACCAGTTATTTTCGTAGTTGCAAACATGACGGCGCTCCTCCGCCAAAAAACAATTTTACGTTTGTTAAAAAAAAATTGTAAAAAATAATGGTTTGGGCCAATTGTTCTAAAAATGAACCAAGAATGACGCTAAATCTCGAAAAATTAATATTTTCAAAGACAAACAACAAAAATTTCAACTTGTTAACAAATTTAATTTTTTGGCTCTTTAGCGTTATTCTATAACAAATATCTTAACTATTTTCTAAATAACTTTTTTTTTAAAAGATTACCAATTTTAAACAGGACGAAAGATTAACCATAGTTTTCATTCCGATACTATTTCCCCAGTATATATACCAATCAGTATTGGCACTCTGAGGCGGCACGTTTGATCTTTAAAAGTAGAAATTTTAGTTGACACTTGACGTTTTCGGGATATGAAAAGTTTTCTTTACACGGACTTGGTATACCTGGTTAGTTGAATTTTTGTTCTGCTGCTTTTCAAATTTGTGTGTATGAGCGAGATGTGAGATACCTTTATAGACAACGGTTGAACAACTTAATTACTTTGAAGAAGAAAATAGATTAGATATCAGGGCAGTCTTCGCAAATGTGAGAAGGCAGAACCGTTTTAAAATTTTTTTATATATGTGAAATATTACTTTTTAGTGAAAAGTTTAATTACTTTTAGTTTAAAATATAACGTTAGCTTGTCAAGGAAAATATATAACACACAAGGTTAGAGTAATAAAATAGAGGTTTTGCTTTATTTCTTAAGAATTACTCTAATCTAAAACTTTTCTATGTTGTAGAAATTTATTCTATGCGTTATTTAGGTACTTACTGCAAAATCTATAGGAAAGTATGTAGTTTTAAATATTAAAATTTATAATGGAGACATATTTAGTGTAGTTTTTTTACAAATATATATACTCAGTGACTTGTTTTAGTGAATGAGTTCAAGTATGGCAGACTAAAATCGTTACTTTTTATTATGAATTTATTTAAAAAACTTGTAATAAAAATATTAAAGTTATGTTTATTGGCCATTTACTACACACAGCAAATTCATAGACACTATACATATCGCACTATTTGACATTCTTATTAAACTCATTAATTTAAAATTAACTTTAAACTGAGTGACTACACACAGAATTGTTTGAAAGCAGCCATAAGGTATAATATATTTATTGGATACTATAAAAAATTAATAGTAGTTACATGTAGAGTTAAGTAACAAGAACTTTAAAAACAAAACAAACCTTTATATCTAGTAAACTTAATTTAGTACAGTCCTCAACTTTCTTAGGCTAACATTAAAGATATCTATTTGGACCTCGCTAAAAAACTCATTGGTATAGCCATTATCTTGTTAAAAGGAGATATACTACTTGGATCTAAACTAAATAATTTTTTGTTACTTGGGATTCTTAGATTAATCTTTGCCACATTAAACTTTATATAGTCAATCAAATCACAATTTTTGTACTTAACATTATTTAAAATAGAGTACAAAATATATCACAGCCTGTTGCTTTCTTCTTTATAAAAGAGATTTAATCTTAAAACTATCGAGCATAGTGTTATATGTGATCTTATAAGGGTACAAGT